CAGCTGCTCCACGCAGACATGCAGTCTACTCTTACCATCAAATCTAACCAGCAATTCGCGGAAGACCTCAATCTTTACGTCCGGAAACAGCTGCGTTAACGTCGCCAGCGCATCGTTGAGTTCGCGACGATCACGCTCTCGTTCACGCTCTTCCTCCTCTTTGATCTTTTCGCTAGCCGCGACATCGCTGGGTACTTTTGTTCGCGAAACTATGCCGAATGGGTTCCCGCGCAGGGCTTCGGCGATTGTCGATGGGCCGGCTGCTGCGGCAGCAGGCGGTGATGATGATGCTGTTATTTGCGTAGGTGCTTCGTGGGGCGTCGTTGATGGCGAAGCTATGGATTTCGAAATAGAGGAAAGGTTACTTCCAGCAGAGGCGAGGGGTTCATCTGCAGAGGATGCGATGCTGCCGGATTCGGTTGATCTGGAAGCGGTGCTCTTGCTCTGGGGAGGTCTTCGCGAATAAAAACTTGGGAGGGCCAGGGAGAGCACCATGGTTGTGGATAGCTACATGGCTCAAAAAGTGGAGAGCAGGGATTTTTTTTTTTTTTCTTTTTTTTTTTTCCAAATGAATTTGCGGAGGTTTCCTATTTCCTCTGCTATATGGCTGATAAATATATCGGGTGTGGTTTTGTCGCCGACCTAGGGATCGCGGGGTTGGGATTTCAAATGCGCAAATGCCGCCTGTGCAAATTAGAGTTCAGTAGACGGGTGCTTGGATTGCTGAACGATATAACAGCTGTGTTTGTGGGGTCGTGGCATAAATCGGAGGCGTGGGTTAGGTGAGGTTGTGGTATGGTATGGTTATGGTTGCCGTTGGTGATTGCGAGACGGGAAAGTGAGACAGGAGTCACAGGACTTGGACTGACCGGGCTGGAGAATTACAACGCCGGAGGAAACCACCGCAGACACCTACCTCGTACTAAGATCCGGGACTCTATATTGACACCCCGCTGATTTCAGCATATCAAGGGGGTAAAATTAAATAAATTGAAATAAAGGTAGTTAAAAGAATTTAAAAATTCCAGGGCTGATTAATGATGAAACAAAGCTACAAGTGAAGCAGGTTTCTTTTTTCTTTTTTTTTTTGTCTACGTAAGGATCTACGGCTCGGCGAAGCCAACAAGGGTCTAGAACACTCTCAGAATGCGGGATGTCCAGGAAAGAAAAGGTATCTCTTACGATTCTCTTGAGGTTAACAAGTTGGACCAGGGGACATCTAGGAATTAATCTGGTTAAGAGCCAGTATGATATTGTAGAATTCGAGCCGAGAATGAAATCATGTGTATCCGTACATGTCACGTCACAATATGGGAAAAAAATCAACACGAAGACAACCGGAATACCAGAGCTAAGCCTTGAACCTATATACACAAAATAGAAAAAGAAAATAAGAAAACTACAGTCCTATATGATAGAAAAGAAGGAAACTGCAGGACTTGAGCAGCTAAAAGAAAAGAAAAAAGAGCTTTTCATTGCCTTAAAACTCATCTTCGCTTTTCCACGCATCCCGCATTTACAGCTTCGCGCCAGTCGAGAGAAGCTCGACACCAGCCCCAGCAATAGCAGGCTTTCCGGTCTCCACAACAGTAGTCTGGAACACAACGGTGCCGTTCTCCTTCCACATTTCGGTCCTCAGAGTCTGACCCGGGATCACAACACCGGCAAATCGGACCTTGATGCTCTTGAAGGCACCGAACGTCTTGAACACGTGCTTGCCAGAGATGCCGAAGGAGCAGAGGCCGTGCAGGATAGGGTCCTTGAAACCGCCGACTTTAGAAAAGTCTGGGTCAATGTGGAGTGGGTTGTAGTCGCCATTCAGACGGTAGAGGGCGGCTTGGTCTTCGGAGGTCTTCTCCTCGATGACGGCGTCGGGCTTGCGCTGCGGTGGCTTGTAGGCGGCCGTGGCAGCCTTTGCGCGACGGGCGGTGGGCTTGGGCGATCCGCCAAAGCCGCCGCTTCCGCGGATGAACATGGTCGACTCATTGTAAAAGAGATCTTCGCCAGTTCGTGCATCCTTGGTGGTGAAGCCCGTGACGACGAGCGCGGCGTTGCCCTTGTCAACCACATCGATAAGGCTGGGGACGTTGATGGTCTTGGCGGCGGTGGGAATGGGGAATTTGCGGATCTCGAGATACTGCTCACCGTGTAGGAGCATCATGGGTGAGTAGTTGGAGACGATATCAGCGACGTCCCAAGGGGTGGTAGTGGTGAACCAGGGGACCACGCCGAAAGTAGGAAGGGCCTGGAAATCCGAGCTGTTTTCGTAGACGAGCGGCAGGTCAGTTCGCTTCGCACCAAGAGAGATGTTGTAAAGGATGACATCCTTGTCAGCGTAGTCGAAGGGAGTTCCCTGGGCCTTAGTGTTCTTAGCGGCCTCGATGGCCTTCAAGATCTGCTGGTCGCCCTTGGATTCCTCACTTTTCCCACCGCTGACATTGCTCATGTTAGCCATGATGCTCTTCATGCCCGCCTGGCCGTCTTCGGGATGATCGGAACGCTCATCGAATGTGATAATCCTGCTCCATTGGGAAACAACGGCTTCAGGGGTGAGTTGGACATCGACAGGGAATCCATGCCCACCGCTGCGTTGCCATCTGGTTTTGGCAAACCAACCACTTCCACATTCGTACAAGCCCTTGGTCGGCTCGGGCGTCTTGTCAGAGCAGAGTAGAACGACCATTGGCGCCACATAATCGGGTTTGAAGGCCTGAACGAGCTCTTCTGGCAGGACGGACCGGGTCATTCCGGTACCAGCATTTGGGGCAATGGTGTTGACGTAGATGTTGTACTTGGCACCCTCAAGGGCCAAAGCACGAGAGAATCCTAGGATGCCGAGTTTCTGTTGCTGTCAATGATGTGGTTCCCGCTTAGCTAGTCAACAAAGGGAGAAGAAACATAACTTACAGCAGCAGCATAGTTAGCCTGTCCAAAGTTACCATAGATACCGCTGGTGCTGGAGGTGTTAACAATACGGCCATACTTCTGTTTCAAGAAATAAGGCCATGCAGCCTTGGTGACCTTGTAGGTGCCTCTAAGGTGGACATTCATGATAGTGTTCCACAGATTGTCATCCATGTTTGTGAATGCTTTGTCGCGGAGAATGCCAGCATTGTTGACCAGGATATCGATGCGGCCAAAGGCGTCAATCGCAGGCTTTACAACAGCCTCTCCGTCTTCAACAGATGCCTTGGAGGCAACAGCCTTGCCTCCGAGCTTCTTGATCTCCTCAACAACGGTGTATGGGTCAGCGACGTCGTTGACAACGACAGAAGCTCCAAGCTTAGCAAAGAGCAGAGCATAGGCTCTACCTAAACCAGCTCCAGCACCAGTAATGAGAGCAACTTTGCCAGTGAAATCCAGGTCCTCACCGGCGGGGGCGCTGGGTACATTCTGTGCTTGTTCCAAGAGCCCTAAGAAGTCCGCAGGGCCAGTAGGATAGCTTGGCTCCGAGAAATCCGTGATATCATTCCACTTGGCAAGAAGAGCCTGGGGCGTGAGAGAGGCATCTGTCTTCAACAACGCACCCTTTGCACGCTCCCATCGCAACTTAGCTACGTGGCCAGCGCCAGCCTCAAAAATGCTTCCAGATTCGGAGGTATTGGAGGAGTGGACAAGAACGGCGACCAGGGGCACAATCCACTCGGGTTTAAGGTGCTCCAACACATCTGGAGGCATGACTGTCTCAGTCATACGGCTGGCAGCTGCTATTTGTTAGTGGAATTACATAGATCAGAATGGAGAAACAAAGGGTCCCACATACCAATTGGCGCAATAACGTTGGCCAAAATGTTATATTTCGCACCCTCCTTCGCCAATGTCTCGGTAAAGCCAACCATGGCCAGCTTGGCAGCTAAATATACACATCAGTACGTAGTTTACCAAATACAACTCATCGACTATATCGTTACACACCCGAGTAGTTGGTTTGTCCGAAATTTCCGAATAGACCAGCAGATGACGCAGTGTTAATCACTCGTCCGAACTTCTGTTTCCGGAAGTGTGGCCAGGCAGCTCTTGCGCACTATAGTTCCTCCGACCGTCAGAGAGCTTTTTCGTAAGTCAAACAAGAGATTCACGAACGAGGCGTACCTTGTAAGAACCATAGACGTGGACCATGTTGATTAAATCCCAGTCGACATCTTTCATATTCTTAAAGCTGATATCCCGTAGAATGCCAGCATTATTAATCAAGATATCAATGCGGCCGAAGGCTTTGACGGCGGTGTCGATGATTCTGTCTCCAAACTCAACACTGTCATAGTTAGCTACGGCTTTACCGCCAGCAGCTTTAATCTCGTCTACAACGACATCGGCGGCCTGCAACACACTATTAGACGATTTTTCAAGCCAAAGCGAGCCATGGGAATTCTTTGTCCCACGAAAGACGAACCTTAGACGAAGCGCCCTCACCCCGGTGTGATCCTCCCAAATCATTGACGACGACATTGGCACCGCGTTTACCGAAGAAAAGAGCATATGCTTTTCCTAGGCCGCCACCAGCACCGGTGACAACAACTGTCTGGTTATCGAATCGAAGTTCCGACATGTTGTGTATAAGGTATGGGAGAACGAATGGAAATGGGACGTAACTTGGCTGGCTAGATTATATGGAGATAGGAGCAAAATTGAATGCTCATAAGCCAGGGAGGAGGTGAAGTTAAAAAGGAGAGGAGAGAGAAAGGAGGAGAAGTTGGAAGATGCGGGAAGTTGAAGATATCCCAGACGACGAAAGCTCGATTCGGGTGCCAATGGACCTCGGCATACCATCCGGGAAGCTGCTTGGGCCGCCGGACAGCAACAACTTATTGGTCCGGTATCGAAGCGGGGGTCGGGAGGGTGTATCAATACCGTACCGTACGTCAATTTTCAGTTCAAATGACGAGGGATGTGCTGTATCTTACGATACTTGTAAAATACAAACCGGGATTTGGGCGTGAGGCGCATATCCATTTGTATGATTGGATGTAGCTCCGCCATCACGTGTGGCAAGCTTCGTCTTCGAATTCTTCAGCATGTGAAATTCGCAGTCAATTTGCCTTTTCTTTTTCCTGCAATTCTAGCTTGTAAAGTCAGCCAAGCCATGGAGCTTCGTGCTGCTGCTTGCTCCTAGGCTTTGCTGAACTCCAGCCCTCCGAGGAAGATTCCCTGGAGCTGAATCTATATATCTCGGAAATTACGAACAACATAGATTTATATCCCCTGTGCACGCAGTGAATACGTTGTATATCCAGAAAAAAAAATGTATATATTCCACAAGGATCACAAGCCCCTTCATTGAAACTTGCATTTGATGATGTCACATGCTCCCGTGCCAAGCTAAAGAGTCTCTAGAAGTTGAATTAAAGTTAATCACTAATCTATTTGGGAATACTAACCGAAACCTTAGAAACTCTAACGTTCCCCGGATTTTCCCCGATCAAGGAAAGTAGTTGATCTTAACCTGCACAGAGCATCAGTTCCAGACGCAAGAATGGCTCACATACTTGACGACAAGTCTCAATACTGCATTCCGTTTCTTCTGGAGAAATTGAACGTACACGAGCAGAAACATGTAGGAGATTCGAGTCCTCCGCCTTTCTTTGTCGGACTCAACGGTGTCCAAGGTGCGGGGAAGACAGCGCTGGTATGGTAGCGTAATGGTTATCTCCTCGTCTAATCACATACTCCTGGAACAGAATGAGCCCTATGGAGTTCAGGGGTCTGAAAGAATAAGCATCATGAAGGAGTATTACTAGTCACTACAACTACTGTCACTTTTTCCTAATCACAGTAACTGTATAGCCATGGTCGCTCTGCTCGAATCTGATATATGTATATAGGTCACCCTCCTCCGCTCAACTCTCTCCTCCCCGCCGTACAATCTCACCACGATAACCTTTTCTCTGGACGACATCTATCTCAACCACGCCGACCAACAACAACTGGCGTTGTCACACCCCTCGAATCCACTCCTCCAACACCGCGGCCAGCCCTCCACCCACGACATTCCACTTGGCCGCCAGGTCTTCGATTCCCTCCGCCAGGGCTTACCCACCAAGATACCCGCATATGATAAGTCAGCATATAGCGGCCAGGGCGACCGTCTACCCGAAAGCGAATGGGAGGTTGTCAATGACGTTTCGGCTGGTCAGAAACGAGTTAAGGTGGTGATATTCGAAGGCTGGTGTGTGGGGTTTCGAGCACTACCGGAAGAGAAATTGCTCAAGGCTTGGGAGGATGCCGTGCAATTGCGGATGAGAGGCCTAGATGGTTATATGGGGCGATTAGGATATGTGAAGTTCGAGGATGTGAAAGCTATTAATGACGCATTGAAGGAGTATGATGCTTTTACTGAGTGAGTAATATAGTTTTTCAACCCGCTCACTCTCACAGTCCTCTACTTCTTCGCTACGGCAACATTTATAATTCGTTTCATAAGTTAATTGGTTGAAACTGAAAATCTATAGTCAGCTAGATGCGTTCATACATATGTAAGTAAATCTCCACATAGGCCCCCGGTGACTCTCCTTTTGCGCTGATAATGGCTAATCCAAGCCGCTGAGTAGTGATGCCGAGGACACCCATTTCGTCTATGACTGGCGCCAGGAACAAGAGCGCAACCTACTCTCCACCAAGGGCGCCGGAATGACTGTCGAGCAGGTTAACAAATTTGTGGATGGCTGTACGTTTCCAAACCCACCGCGACTTTCCAGCTTGAACTATTTTCCAGACCCACACATAATCTATCCGAAAAAGGGACTAACATGAATATCTACTATGCTTTATTTATTAACATTAATACAGACTACCCCTCGTACGAACTCTTCACGCCAACTCTTCGCACAGGGGTTTTCGTGCCCAAACACAAACCCGAGCAGCAGCGTGGTTCGGCTGGCGACGACTGCTCGTGGAAGGGCAAACAACTACGGCTAACTGTAAATCGGCAGAGGAAGGTTTGTGATGTAGTTAGGATATGAAAGTTTTTGTATTTAGGGGGGTAGACTGAACCGATTGGCCTTGGCAGCGACTCTGGTGGGAAGCAGATAGATATATTTAAAATCTACGGAGGCAAAAAAATATGAAATGGATTGAGGATAGAAAAAATAAACAACAAAAAGGACCAAAAAAGAAAATGTAACAAGTTCAGCTCCAACCCTGATTCGAACAAGGGACATTGCGATCTGCAATCGCACGCTCTAACCGCTGAGCTATTGGAGCAGTGTTCGGTAGACTTTTAAAGTTACTTATATAATTATATGCCAACCTTTGCTTTCTTTGTCTCCCAGCCCTAATTAATTATCCCCTATTTGAGAATGAATGCTCCCATTTACTGTCCAGCAGAGAAAGCTTTCTGTGTACTTGTAAATGAATAAAAATTACTAATGGACAAAACTCTAGGAAGATCTTGGGCTCAAGGAAGCCCGAAACCAAGACTGGGCGTGAGCTGATGATGTCCCCTTCGCAATACGAACTGCGGGGTCAGACCTCATGCTTTTGGCTTAGATGCAAATAAATAACGCTCTGTCTGTCATGATCAGGACGTGCCGCAGACTTGCATTCAGTAGCCGTGTAGGCTGCTGATCTCCAGATTTTCTCCAAATTCCTATTCCCAGATCTCTTTGAGCGAATAGGTGGAGGAGCCATGCTTTCATCAGCAGCGCAATATCCCCTCGAGGGTGGATGCCCATGCAAAGCAGTCCGATACCAAATCCAAACGGCACCCCTATTTGTCCACTGCTGTCATTGCACATGTATGTACAGTACATAAGAACCAAAAATTACCATGATTTATAACCTAGCCCAGAACTCCGCAATTATCATCAATTCCCCAGGCTAAACACCAGTATCGACCAGGGTGCCAGCGCGAAACCGGCTCGGCCTTCGTCATAAACATCCTCATCGAAGCAGACCGCGTCACCCTACTACAAGGAGATAATGGCGAGTCCAATCTCGAAGTCATCAACACGCCATCTGCGAGCGGTTTCGGCCAGCAGATCTCCAGGTGCAAAAGCTGCCGTGTCGCCGTGTGGAGCACCTACGGCGGCTCCGGGCCAATTGTACGATTTGTGCGCGCAGGCACGCTCGACCAGGCCTCTCTGGTCTCTCCGGATGTACATATCTATACCACCACCAAAGCTCCCTGGCTTACCTTTCCGGATAATGTTCCTGTGCTAGAGGAATTTTATGTTCTCGAGCAGAAGTGGCCGGAAGAGAGCCTTGCGCGGCGACAGACGTATATGCCTCTTGTTGAAGAGTATCGGCGGCAGAGAGCAGCAAGGAAGGGTTGAAACTATGGCCATATCAGAGTGCGTGTTTGGGGGCTGCAGGGACCTATTATTGTTATCCTGCTGGCATTGATACCTTGTTGGCCCTGATCATAATTGTTGCTGGGTTCCATTGGAAGCACCTGAACGAATTAAAATGCTGGTTTCAACCATGAGCTTCTGAGGATGCCGTTGTGGATGAAGTTTATTCATTAATGCTAGTAAAATTTTGTGTGCTTTGGGATGTAGTTATCTCTGGCCCCATTCTCTTTGAATTTTGTCGCCTGGGAAACGCTTCTATAGTATTCTGCTATGATGGTCTTACGGCAGGTAAGATATCGCACACAAAACTATATTTTAGGAACACGAAAATTTAGCTGTAGGAAGTTTCCGGAATTCGCAATTTTGTAAATATATCTGGTAAGGATGTGTAGAAGAATAAGGGAACATCTCTGACGAACCCCACGACGTTTATATTCCAAGCTTGTCATTTCGTTTATGAAATGATAAGCAGGGACGAACTGACCTGCAAGATCGCCGCTGGAAGGCAAGCCATACACTCTGCTGCCTGGAGCAAGAAGCCCTTTGAAATGAAGCACTGAGCCTGACATACAACATGACGCCTACATCTATGAGTTTCCCTTTTACCCTCGTTTGATCCCCAAAAACATACGTTCATCCATGTGCCACTTCTATCTTACTTCCGCTAGTGAAGTCTATCATTGAAGGTCCTTGAATTTATAAATTTGCAATGCCTTCCAATTCAGTGAAACCAAGCGCCCCCAACATCAACACCAATTCCAATTCCAGCTTCACCCTCTCCCCTAACAACGAAGCCATAAAAGCCGACGTCGAAAAATTGCGCACCATATTTGCTTCTAGAAATATAACCCCACCCCTCGGCTGGCCCGCCGTCCACGCCTTCGAATCCAGACATGACATAATCCTCCCAGAGCCATATCGGACCTTCGTAGCCGAGATCGCCAATGGATGTCATGGCGGCCCTCAAGAGTACGGTCTCAAGCCGCTCAGTAATCGCGGCGACAGAAATGACCCAGCAGAAGGCCGTCTCGCGTTGCCGTTTCCGCTGACAAAACGGCGGATATGGGAGGACGACCCGGAACTTCCTGAGGGATTCCCAGCATCCGCCATTGATGGAGACGGGGAGGCGGGTATTTTTGGCCGCGGTTGTCTAGATCTGGGGACGGAGGGGTGCGGGATGAATTGGTATCTTATTATTAGCGGAGAGCATCGTGGGTAGATATGGCATCTCTCTGGTGAGGGGGCTGCACCTTTCGGCGCGCCGTTTGGATTCACGAAGGCTCAGCCGGGGTTTGCTGGGTGGGTGTTTCATTGGGCTGCGGGGGAGAATTTGATGTGGGAGAGTGATGAGGAGGATGTAGACGAGGAGGAGGGAGGTTTGGGTGCATGCGCCTGTTTGAATTCACCCGTGACTGAGCAATTGACTATATCTGTCCAACCAACTAGAGGATCTGAGAGTAAAGTGTAATTTAAAAAAGCTTGGGAATGTAGAAGACGAGTTTTGCAATTCTGCCATCTCCCTGCCATTGTTGCGGAGCTGAAGATTTAGCATTTATTCTAGTTTTAATGTACATACATGGTACATGTGCAAAAAATATCAAAATATACATTTGATTTGTTTCCATTATACGCGAGAGATGGTGATGTCAATCCAACGCTCTTCTTCATCTCCGAAAGGGTATATAATCCGAAATGCTTGGATACCTCGACGTGGTTCAGGGGGAGAAGTTATATCGCGCTTAAAAAGCGCTTAGCAAGCAAGCTCTGGCGGCAATTTAGCAACCTTACTTCAACCACCATTCAGGAGCCCGTGGAAAGTCGGGCTACAAGATTGAAGCTCGTGAGAGAAAACCTCAGTTGCATTCAACAACTTAATCAAATTCAACAAACAAGAATATTTGGACGTATGCCTAGGACATTACCGCCTCTCACGTAACAAAAGGTAGTGCATGATTTATCTACCTATGGGTAGTAAGAGATGCCAATGATTTCGGGCGCTGTGGACGACGGGTATATGTATATATGTGTGTGTGTGTGTGTGTGTACAACTGAGAAAAAGAGAAAAGGAAGAAAGAAAAGACTGACATGATGAACATGCAAATAAAAACAAGACACTTAACAAGATCAATGATGTTCGCTGCCGAATATATTGGGGGGTGGAAGGAAAAAAAAAAACTGAAGATGAAAAAAAGGGAAGAGAAGGTGGACGGCTATATGTTGAACCAAAAACAAAAGAAAATTTAATTTGAGAAGGATGACGATGAAGAGAAGTGGGACGTTCTGGATACGCGTATGCAAGAAGTGCCATAAAAAGATTCTTAGAAGCAGAAAGAAGAGAAAAAGTATGTAAAATCGCTCAAGGCTCGGCAGTTAGTTAGTTCTGTTAGCCATACAGATAAATGGAGAATAAAAAAAAAGCATATATGACCATGAGGAAAACAGGGGCGATAAATCCTTTCAAGAGTCTGCTGTTGTTTTTTTCTAAATAGAGAAATGATACACAGCTTACACACACACATATAAAACACCTGCAAATTTCTATAATCAGAATACACTCCATGTCCACGTTACTGCGATTCAATCGCCTTTCGTCCTCCTGCCTCTTATACTCCTGCTACCACCATCTCCGGACGCCAATGGCCCGATGGTAGATCCCGATCCAGATGAAAAGCGAGTAGGACTGCAATTGACAGCACGTCCTCTTCTGGCCGACGAGGGCATACCCGCAACACCACCAACACCAGCACGGCTAGGACTTCGCTTCCCGTCCAGCGTATCAGCCAATTCGATAAGATCACCCATCCCACTGATACCCAAATGACCACCTTGCTGTTGCTGCAAGTCTGAAACCCCAGCCTTGGCGCTGCGGGCTATCTTGCGAACCCACCCTTCAATAGCGCCGCTAACGTTCTCCAGTCCCGTAGACGACGTGTTCGAGAGGATGGTTGACGTGGACTCTGTAGAGGCGCGTGGATAGTAGCTGGCTGATGATGATGATAATAGGGGTTGAGGAGTGGGCAGTGGCGGAGGGACAGCCAGTTTAGGCAGATGCGTGTTTATGAATTGATTGAGTTTATCCTCGGCAGGGCCAGGGGCTTTTACGTTGCGGTCTAGCGTTCCTACGCCGCCTGTGCCTAGGAAGGTGAAACTGCTGCGATGTCGGTGCACGTGCGCGTTGGAAACGGATTTTGAGCTGGATATGGAGCGGCCACGGGTGTGGGAAGATGATGAGGAGGAGCGGGCGATGAATGGGGTCGAAGTGGCAGGGGTGGCGGGAGGTGTGGTGCTGGTGTCACAGGTTTGTTGTTGAGAAAGGGGGTGTAGGGTATCTTCTAAGTCGGAATACGGGATTGGTAGCTGGGCTAGGGATTTTCGCCTTGCGCGGGGGAAGAACCCTAAAGTCTTCCGTGCCACGCGGCCGATTTCGACAGCTTCCGGGAATCCATCAATTTGAACCCAACATTCATGTTTCCACGGCGGTGCTTGCTTCGGTGTCTTGCCTGAAACCGACGAGGTAGATGATCCGGCATACTGGCCTCGTAAACTGGAGTCTCCATATCCAAATGCGGAGGAGGACATTGGATCTAGGTCCAGTGAAGTATGTTCTGCAAACGGGTCCTCCGAGCTACTATCCAAGTCCTCAAAAAGATTATCATGCTCTTCCTTCTCGGGTATTCGACGGCCTTTCAGTGTACAAGCTTCGACGGGAAGAAGGACTGTCTTCCTAGCTTGTATACTATCACTGGGCCAGAAGCCATTCGCTTTCCTCATGACTGTTGGCTGACAGCCATACCGGATTGAGACACCAGTGATGCTGTCATTTTTCTGTACATGATGCACATACACCAATGCGTCCGAATCGTCCTGTTCCGGCGGCGGAGCCGAGGATCCTCGCGGAGCATCGCCGGAATCTCTTCGTTTGTAATTCCCCTGACTATCCGGTGTTACATCTCCATTAGCCTGAAGGAGAGCTTGTCTTTTCAGCGCTTGTACCATCGACTGTCGGTCTTCTCTCGGGCCAAAACCAGAATCAGAACCAGAACCCAAGGAACCCAACTGTTTACTAAAGAAGTTTGCCGGGCCCCATGACGACGGGCCACTTCTCGCATCTTGGACGAAGTTCACTTTTGACGGCTTCCGCCGGTGTTGCTGTGCGCTAGACCTTGATGTAGACGACTTCGACTTTCCCAGGATATCCTCGTTCCCGAGCACAGTTGATGCCAGTCCTTGTAAGGAAGTCCACGACGATTCCAAAAAATCCGCCACGAACGGACTTGTCGGTTTATTTTGCCTACTATCTGTCCATCCATTTCCGAACCTCGCCCCTCCACTCGAGGAGCGGTTCTTAGTCAACGAAGCTGTCGGCGGGCGGGATGGATGTCTACTTGGGGTGGGAGATGGTGTACCAGCACGAGAACGTGGCGCGGGAGGTGTTAACAGAGAATTCGAAGTCAGGGCATTGTCAGAACTTGACCCGGTCGCAAGGTCTATAGTCGTGGTTCCTGAGAGGTCATCGTCGTCGTCGTCGGCGAGGGAGATCAAGCGTCGATTACGTGGACGGACACTAGAGGAAGGGTTCGCACTCGCGGTTGAGGAATTGAAGACATCGGTCTGGTTGGTATTGCTGGTCATTCCTTATCCTATAACTCCCACCAGTTTGGCCTTCTTCCTTGCCGTCTTTCCTTCCAATTATATTATTACAACGTCGGAATTCCCTTTTTTGTCACCCACGATTAAATAAAAAAAAATTGAAATAAAAGAAACCTGTTCCGTCTATTTCTCCAGTTTGGTGAAATGTCCACCTGCCTTCGAGAACATTTCAATGGCTGGCGTCTTGGGGTGTAAGCTCAGCGGGGTATCATGGATGACCAGGCGGCAGCGGCAGGACATCTGTTAATTGACCAATCGATCGATATGTGTTGCTCCCCGATGCGAGGTATATTAATAAGGTTGGTTTCCGGCGTTAACTTCGTTTATCAATGAGGAGTTGCCGATATCCAAGGGTAGTTAGAGAACCGGGGGGAAGGGGGGGTTGTTGGCCGCGCAAAGCTCAGGAGTCGGATAATCGGACCATCTGCTTGCAAGGCACGGTTGTCCCTCGCGGATTGGCAGAAGAGTGGCAGAATAACGTATGTAAGAATAAAGGACGCCGGATGCAAGCCTCAAGTCTCAAGCCGTCAGCCTCAAGGCGCAAGTGCAGCCCCGTCTCTCGTCTATTTTAAGTGTCAGGCTTGGTTCGTTGCCAAGCGGGTAAAGTGTAGATAGGCTGGCCGTTTGGATTCAGGAGAAGATTCAACGTAGAACGTAGTATGATAGGACAGGTGGCACCAGAAACGGGATATCCTTCCGGGAGCCTTCCAATGTAGTCAGGATGCTGCGGGTGTCTGGCGGTGTATCGGGTTGCCCACCTCTATGTCGTTGAAGATAGCAGCTCGTGGGGGATTGTTTGGATGAGGAAGTTGATAACGCGGCCCGGGTGGAATAGGGCGACGCTGGCCACTTGGGCCATTAGTCAGCGGATGTAGCTATTAACAGCAGCTAAAGAAAAGCAGCACCAATGTACTCACTCGTATCAGACGTTGAGATGCCGAAACTAGGAGGAACAAAGATTGAGAAATGTACACGTACATCTTACATACCTATAGCTTGGTATTTGTTGAGTTAGCCATGATATGGATAGTAAGGAAACTTTCGTTGCAAAATGTATTGCCATGAAACCTTAAAATATTGTTGAATCTGGAGCACTTTGAGAGTTCTTATTTCAGTATTTAAGCAAGCAGAAACAAACATTACCCACTTTATTTCCCTCCAATTTGTTCAAATACAACCTACCTGAAGCTGCAATACTATATTATGAACAGTCCTGCAAATCCTAGTAATAAATAGATAGCAATATATGATCAGTCCATGATGTTAAGTATATATATGGTACAAATTTTATATATGAACTAGATATATAAAACACTTCAGCAGTGCACCTGTTTCACCACATCAATCCCACATCATATCGTATGCATTGATAAGTGATAAAATGATAGTGATATCAATCTCAGATGCACCCACTCTCTCACCCGCTCACACCTGCTCCCCCCACATCCATTCAGTAAACGGTATTATGTTCCTTCCACCGTAGCACTCTGTCTTGCTCTCCCGCTCGCTCACACTCATCGTCATCCCTTCAAAGCCCCTCCCCCAACTCACCCACACCCGCATTAATTCCGAAGAACTGGAACCTGCGCAGAGAAAAACAAAACGTCAGCAAAACATTTGCTGTATAAAAGAAATAAGAAAACAGGGAAACACGAAGATAAAAAGGGAACATACCAATCCTCCACGTTCAACGTCGGCGGAATCGGCATCTGCCCTCTTGAGCTCGTACTCCAATTATCATCCTGACTAGACGTATCCAGCGTCGCAGGCGCCATATGCCCATCCAAGCCTTGCATGGCTTGCCACTGCTGTTGCTGTTGCTGTTGTTGTTGCAACTGCTGGCTCATTCCATGCATGTTATGCATGTTCATGGTGGGGCTATCGCGCAACCCCCGTGTGGGTAACTGCTGTTGCTGATGCTGCTGGTGTTGTTGCGTGGGGCTTAGTGTGGTAGTACCCATGCCGCCAAGCATGGATGCCTGCTGCAGCTGTGGATCGATAGCTGGGCCACCGCCGCCGGGTGGTGAGAAGCCTGTATACGACATATTTGTGCCGTCGGGGAAGAGTTGGTCAGGCTGGAAGTTTTCCCAGAGCGATTGGGAGATGTTGGGGGAGTTGCGCGTGACGAGGAAGAGATCGGGAGGCGTGGCTGGGATGCTGAAGGAAGGGTTGAAGGGGGATGGGGAGGTGGGGCGCGTGTTGCCGCCAGTACTACCTGGGGCGCCGAGGAAGGCATCGTGGTTTATGCCCCGTTGTTGCTGTTGTTGTTGATGTTGCTGGTGTAGGAGCTGCTGGTGTTGGGTGTTTGGTGAGGCGTGAGGGGGTTGTTGTGGTGGCGGGGCGGCCATGGTCGAGACCACGGGGGTCGGGGGCATTTCACGAGAGGGAGTTACGGCGGGTGTTTGCGGGCGGGAACGCTCATAGGAGACCTGCGGGGCGGGAGGCCCGTTGGGGAGGGTGATCTCCATATCGTCGAATTTGCGTTTGGAGGCTTCTGTGGGGCGTCGTGTTGCTGTAGGTGCGGCGGGTGCCGGATGGTCGCGTCGGACGCGTTGATGTCGCTTGCCGGCGGCTTTCTGGAGGCGTTCTTCGAGCGCTTTGTTACCTAGGATGGACTCGAAGAGCGTGTGGACCATTTTTGCAACGAGCCAGACTTTCGACACGTCTTTTAGGGCCTGCATACATATGTTGATTCGCTCTTGGCTGGTGGAGACAACGGTCGGGACGGATGAGCGCATTTGGTATACATGCATGATTAGGGCAGAGAATAAACTATATACACTATTTGGGAAAAAAAAAAGATAATGGGTTAGAAAGTGACATGTCGTGTGCGAAATACAGCAGATAGGATAAAGCAACTAGCCGTTAAACTTACATGAACGCTGGAGTAAATTTGAGTTCTCCATGCGTTTGCAGATTTTCGACGATGGAGGTAATCATCGCGGCGGCTTGGAAAGCAATAGTGCGGGACGGGTATGCCATCCCGTCCGATCCATAGTTTCCAGATATAGACGTTGCCGGGGGCATGTGCGCACGATGTAGTAGACATAATGTCGTACTTCCAAGAAGAGGTTAGCTATCTATACATACCAAACCGAATATTCTATATTAGTATCCACGTCAGAAAAACACTCACTAGTAATTTGCATGTAGCAAAGCGGACCAGAAGTGATGCCTAGGCCTTTCCCAGTAAACTTCCTTCGGACAATTCTGCAGCCAATCGGCCAATGCCATATCACTGTGTGTTAGATCGATGGCATTCGTACGCCGTGATTTCGAAGCGACTGAGTACTGCTGAGACAAGACGAGGCCCATGATCTCGCATAGTTTCACATATTGGAGGAAGAACTGGACATGAGTGGGATTGGGCGGGTATTCAGCGATGCTATCGACTTCATCCTCGATGAAGTCATCCTCCGTAAGCATCTCGACGTCGGAGTCATCAGTGTTGATGTTTACGGGGCGCCCAAGAGCGACAGCAACGGATCGATCGCGTGTGAAGAGTGTCCACCATATCCGTTTCCATAATCGCTTGTCTGGCCTGCTTAGCTGGGACGATTCCACGCTGTGTTCAGAAGCATGTTAGCAGGAAAAGATCAATGAAACCGCGGTTACTTCAAATTAATGACGAACCTTCTATGCATTCCAGATCCCTGGGCAACAACAGTAGCAACTCTACTCCAATAGAAAACATTCTTAGTGACATCTGAAAACCCAAGAGAGTTAGCAAGATATATTAACAAATGATAAGCGGAGCGGAGTATATCACTCATACCCTCTGGACCTTCCCAATACCAGCCCATCAAAACCAACGCTTGCACGATGGTAACACGGTCATCTTCATAATTGGCATCATAGAGAGCCTTTGCTCGCTTATAAAAAGTCATCGCCGCTGGCGTTGTCGATCCATTCGCATCCATCAACTGAGGATTTGTACAGACCCTCGATCCTGCCAGCAGAATAGCCTGCAGTAGAAGAAGGGAGGGGGGATTTTTGGGATCTCGATAACGGCGCATGAAACGGCTACGATTGATGATAGGCACAACAGGCGCAACCCATTTGAAGTAGTCGTCGACAAGTTCATCGCATAGTGCGCGGGGCGGGAGCAGGAATGCACCCCTCTGGTGCAGAATGTCGATTTCCAAATTATCCAACTCGGTCAGCCGTGCGCGCGAGCCTCTTATCCCCTCCGGTAACGGGTAATGTACAACATCGGTAGTACCATGGCGGTCATGGACAAGTAGCGAAAGGTTCGACGACTCTCCCAGGTATGCTACCCTTCCAGCTTCCTTGATAGGGGCGCGGGCGAATTTTGGTTTCATGAACTGGGCGTAGGAGGCGCTGTGCGAAGCTTGCTGGGCAGCTTGAGCATCCGTCAAAGTGGTCTGTGGCATTCCTTCTACCGGTTTGGTAAGACCCTTCGAGCCGCTACCGCTGGCTCCGCGGGTATCTGGTCTCTCATCACTACTTTGATGGAAAGGAAGATAGTAGATTAGCGACTGATCACATTCAATTCATCACTCCGATGCGATATCCTTTCGCACAGAGAAAAACATACCTGGTCCCATCCTTGGATACTTTTGACTGGTTCTTCTTCCGTTTCGGCGTTGGGATTTTGCATTCGATGGAGAAAGCCACACAGTTTGTGCAAGGTACACCTAGGCTTGCTGCGTCACATCGTACCTATATGCCCGAAAGAAAGCACGTCAGACATTGATCACACACAACCGGGACAGCAAGGGCGATTGGCCAAATGACCATGTGTAACCACAGGTCAAAATCCGCCGGCCGATCACCGACATCTCCTCTCACCCCCGCATAGATGGGATGGAAATGTTTTGGAGATGGTGAGTATCGAGAGAAACTGGGGATGGGCAACTAACCTTTCGAGCATGGCAAGTCTGTAATCACGCCGCGACCACCGTTAGTAAAAGTAAAATCAAACACAAAATAAAAACATTTCACTGCGATCGATCTGCTGGCTGAGACTTTGAGCAAGATTCTCGAGGCCAAAAAGCAACCTCGAACCTCGATAAGATACAGTATCAGGCCTTCGCGTAAAAGACCGAGGTGCCGAGGCTGGTCTATCGCAGCGCATTGTTTGCTTCGTCGAACAGGGACGAGAAAGTATTTTAACTCCGTATATAAATAAACGGAGCAACCAAGGAAGGAGGAGCATGGAAGTAAGCAAACGAAACATACCTCGCAAGCACGCGACGCCCGTTGTCTAGATTACTCCATTTGCTTGTCAGCTATTTTGTTCTTCAATACAAACCTGGCCTCTTCTCTCTCTATCTCCCGCCACGGTTGCATTGCAACCCCAACCACACCTTATCCGTTGCGGTTACTCGAAGATAAGAAGGGGGAAATATCACGCACCGTCTGAAACTGGGATGGCCTGGGGTTTGCATTGTGGGCACCGATTGTTTGGGAGCCGTGGTAGTGGTTGGTGAAGGAACATCTTTGGTCATTGTGGAGGGACTGGTGGTGGTGGTGGCTGCGGCGGCGGTATCTTCAGCACCAGCCATGGCCTGGTCGGGCCTGTTGTCTGAAGCGATACTACTACTCATTGTTGAAGGCGATGGCGACAGGAGTAGCGTTCCATCGAGAAGGAGAGGGGTGGGAGAGGAGGTCGTGGGAGTCGGGGGCGGAGGAAGAAGAGAAGTTGACGCCTGAAGGCGATGGTCGGAGGAGAGCGGGAAGCAATAAGTTCCCTGATACAGAGGGCGACTAACCATAGTACTGCGATATATAGGAATTACACGCACAACCACAACGGGAATGGAGAGGCTGATAGCACATAAAAAGTCTTCATGCTATGTTTTTTAACTAATTTTCAATCTTTCTTTTATTTTTCTCTTTGTTTCCTCTGGCAATCGGCTAGGTTTAGCTGCTGGTCATGGACAGGGACAGGGAGTGCTTTTAACCATAACTTCAACCCCGGGGATGACAGACAGCACGCAGGGACTGTCAGACAGCACCAGATTTTCTTTTTTCTATTCCTTTTTAATTTTTAATTTTTAATTTTTTTTTTTTTTGCTAATTTTCCCCTGTTCCAATACAATACTATTTTCCAATGTTGAACTACGGAGTACTCCCTCAGAAACGCCAGGTTCGAAGGGCCCGGAAGCTATGACAGGCAGTTCAGGAGTCTGAACAAGCCATCTGCAGCACTTCTGTTCTCTTTTTCCCTTCCTTGCAAGATTTATGCGCTATTTGTGGGGTTGGGGGTTTTAGCCCTGAAATATGCTGTGGTGGGCGAAAACAACTTCCCCGCCACAAGGCGCGAACTTTAAAAACTCCAGTTAATTTTGCATGGCGCGAGGAAAAGATTTACGCAGTATGCTTCCAGCCAGTTCTTCCTCATGGCACTCCTGGCCCCTGGGAATTGCGTTAACAGTTAACGTAAAACATCAGGATCCAATATTCAAATGTCCTGAGCAGCAGCAGCTAGCCCCCCGATATCACACTCGTCTTTTCACCCCCCATAACACACGAACCCCAGGAGAGCCGGGATCATTCTTCAGACGAGATACGATACGCGGCCAGGCCCACCCATGTACTACCCTAGGGAAGTTAAAGGAACCGAGCGCTTGATTGGCTGCTTGCGCTCCACTAGTTTTCTTGCGGTTTCCTCTCATTATTATTCCCTGAAGCGGGCAGCAACGCCCACCTTGGAAAATTTCAGGCTTCAGCTAGAAACCTGTTGGTGAACATGGATGTGGAGCCCTTGGAGGCTCTGGTCGAGACGAAAAAAAGGCGGCCAGCCAGACTCTACTCCGCATAGGCCATTTTATCAGATTATCAGGAGAGATATATAGAGGAAAGCTTTATCACTACTACTCACTGCGGCCGCCATTCCATTGCATGAAACTTGCATATAAACTCTCTGGATGCGGCGACATCAGAAGATTCTCATTCCCGCTTCTCCTAACAACGAATGATGTTTCGAGATGTCAGAGATATCGTGGGACGTCCAAGGCTGCTACATTGCTCCGTTCCATATCGGAACTTTCCCATCGAAGCCCCCCGGCCTCAGGGGAAACTGGTTAGATTGCCTCTTTCGCATTCCATCTTCCGGGCCGATCAGCAGACAATAAACCCTCCCCGCGCTAAATTCGGCAAGGCAAGCTAAACTTAGCACCGCCTCGGCTAATTTGGTTATCACCTTTAGCTCAGCCGTAGCGCCGTATTCGTTTTCGGAAACAGGAAAGAAGAATACGATGGAAATCTGGGGCTTGAGAGTTGAAGGGGCTGAACCAGAGGATCCGATCTGCAAGGCGGCGACTTGAGTATTCGCTAAGGAACAATAATATGGATGTTTTGACGCTCAAGGACGCGACGAGGTCGGAAGCCTTCTTTCGAAAATTACGGGGGCCCCGCGCATTTATGATGGCGCGCGAAGGGAACGGGTTTCCTTTTTTTTTCCCCTGGTGCTTCTTGTGCATCAATTTTGGCGCTGGATCAATGCAATGATGTTTCAGGCAAACCCAATCATAGAACTAAAGGGAAGCTAGATCCAATGTTGGTTATGTTGACGGGGGGATGTCTTGCCCTAAGTCAAGGGACCCCAGGAATTGAGAATCGCCTTGTCCCGGAACATTTTCTTGGATCTTGCATGGTCCAAACAACTAACTTTTACAGAGCAAAAATAGTAATAATAGTTACCCCCGCCTTCCTTGAAAGACGGGAGTAGCCATCCCGGTGGCAATTGTTGGGGTATGGGGTATGGGTGGGAAACGTGGCTGCAAGCATCCGATATATGATTTGATGAAGGGGTTGGTTCCTCGTTGGAAGAATGACAGAGCGTCGAAATACGTACTCCGTAGTAAGAGTCGACTTCTTCTCCCGCATGTAAGCTTACCAGCCTGAACCCAGCTAGCCAAAACACTGGGCCTGGGCATACAGGGCTGCGGAGGGGAGCTGGACATACTGACTGTTTAGCAATAATAATAAGCTCAGATGAGGATGGAATTTTTGGCATCCATCTTCATCCTTTCACATGTTATTGTGTTGTTTTTCCTGAAACTGGGGGGTTGAACATGGCTAAGACGCGCCATCTTAGGCTCTGGCTAGGAGCGGAGGTGTACATGCATCCTGAACAAAAAAAAAAAGAACTATGTCCACGGTGAGTGACGGCTTCGCGCTGAAAAGTGGTCTGTTAGGTTTGCATAGGTTGTGTAAGGGTAGATAGAACTCACGCTCTATCTAGAGTCTTAGATTTGAAATTCAATAACTGGCTGGGCAACCGCTAATTTTTTTATTCCCTCTGCACTGAATACTAAAGAGTCAGTCATGTTTTGTCCAGTGGAGAGTGATATTATAATGCAAGTATGCATAAATTCTTCAAGGGTGTCAATGCAGGGGAGTAAGTTCGACCTCTAAATATATCACCTCAAGTCTATAGAGAGTTGATATGAAATTCCACACGCGCCTACTCACAGCAGGCTCTGGAACTATGTATCAAGATCAATACAACCGATGTGTGTATGTATGTATGTATGTATGTATGTATGTATGTATGTACATGTACATGTACGTGTACATGTACACACGTACAGCACATCCAGAGACTCGACATGCAAACTCGACAGAGTCTACATATATGCGGGGAAAATAAATACCGCTCCATCTTCCTATCACCCGCGCAGCGCCCACTAGAAACCAGCTAACCTCTGGCCACCTGCGGCCAAACCCTAAAACTGGTGAAGTAACAATTATATTACTCCTCAAATATTTCCAGGGGACGGGGATCCTGATACGATGAGGCTCTCTGCTGCGGATTAGCGGAGAGGAAGCTATCTGATTCTCACTAACGGGTGTTTAGAAGTGTTTGGGAGTTAACCCATATTTTGTTGTTGAAGACGGTCTGGAAGTCGAAAGTCAATTAGCTCGATCTGTACTCTGTACGGAGTATACACTCTTCTGAATTGGAAATTAAACGTATAGAAAATATACCCTGCGAATAGCACTATAAAACGCAGCAGAGAGAACCCTAGCGATTGCTTGGGCTAGAAGGGCTGCAAGAGACAACAACCAACAAAGAGGAAACACAGAGCAGAAAAGCAGAGAGAAAGAATACTTCGCCTCCAAAAAAAAAAAAAAAAATAAAAATAAAAATAAAAATGAAAATAAAAATAAAAATAAAAATAAAAATAAGAAATAAGAATACTATTAAGCTCATGATATGCATATGATTATTATATGATATAAGACAATTCCCTATCCCTTTTTTATCCTGCCCTTTTTATAAACTGTAAAAATGAATCACCGGAGAGACATCTAGGAGTGATGAAAGAAGAATAGAAGGAGGTATTGGGCTGTGATGAAGATAGAAAAGCCTACAGGGGCAATATCTCTGCTGGGGAGAACATCATGCCTATCCTCATGATGTAAGGGATTTCCAAAAAAAAAAAAAAGCTTCAGTATCTCATGAGAAAGAAATGGGATGTGTAGGATTGTGGTGAATATGATAAGGATGATATTGAGTAAATTTAATTCTTCCCAGATGATTCGATGAAAGGTTTCGCGGAGCCATTAGTGTGTCCGTTCGTTGCGTCGGCTAAGGACGTCACATCCAGCGCATGAGAAGAAATGCCATTAGCACCATTCGACACCACAGCGGCCTTTCCCTTCTTTGTCGTCGTTTGCGTCTCCTTCTCACCCTTCTCCGGCTTGCCATGATCATTTCCATAACCAGCTGCACCAGCGCCAGCATCCTCAAACTTTACACCACAAATGAACGTTTCACTAAGGAACTCTAACCCAGCAACGAACGTGCACAGCCCGCTGGCAATGCAGAAGTGACTAATCGTCGTGCCGATATCAAGCCAGCTCCCCTCGTCGCGCACCATGTAGAAGAAATTAAGCGTCATGATGTCACTGATGGACATGACAATCATAAAGAGAGAGGAGGGCGCGACGCCTAGGCGCCGGTTGAGGATACCCAGATTCGCGCTGATGATGGCGAATGGGATTAGAATCTTTAGGATTAGCAGCGCTCCCTGCGAGAAGGGGTTGAAGATGGGGATTAGTCTGGTGACGCATTCGAGGGAGAAGGAGGAGACTGAGGCAATGTTGCCGGTGGAGAAGAAGGCGGATTGGAGGAGGAAGAAGAAGAACAGTGCAATTCGGGCGTCTGCTATGGTTAGGATACGGTAAGGCGATTTGGATGCTTGATTTTTGCGATTAGGTTGCGCTGTTATTTGAGCGTCATCATCCGATGAAGCGGTGGTGACCGATGGTGTGGAAGATGTGTAGGTGTAAATGCGGTGTTCAAGTTGAACCCAACTGAGGAGGGTAATACAAAAGACGAAGTAGAAGAGTCCCTCGTACGAGATGGTGAGAATGATGAATGTCGGAGAGAAGGAGAGGAAGATCACGACAAGGCGATGGAGGTAGTGGCTATTTGGGTATAGCCGGTGGAAGAAGGGTAATACAAGTGAAGCCACTACAACACGTTAGTCAAAATAATCCTAGGCTGTATCATGGATATAGTTATTCTGAGTGAGATTTGAAGGAAAATAGTGAGGCTAACCTAGAATCGACCATCCCACGGCTTGGTTTCCTAACGGCAAACCTTCTTTTGCCTGCAGTGAGGTGATGGTAGATCTCGTTACTATTATAGCCAGCAGAATCATGCCGGTCTAAAATAGGCCCATCTATGCATTAGTACCGTCTAGTATAATGATTCTAGAGGAAGCACTAAAAGACAGCGGCTTACGTACCTGCATGCCCATAATTCGCCTGGAACCCTTACTGACGGCAATTGATAGGGTTTTAGAATGGGGCGTTATAGATTCCTCGAATATTAGATAGAAGAGTCCGGTAAGGACCATGAGAGTACCGCCTATCGTTCTGTACGACAAGTAAGAATCTGCACTCCGCTTTTTGATCGGAATAGGGATGGCTACTTACATGGTAGTTACATCTTCCACCTTATTAGCGGGTAGGAGCGTGAAGGTGCTCATTAAAGCACATCCGATACTCCACGTAGCTACGACGAGTTTATTGCGCGACAGGAAGCCAATGCCGTAGGATATAGGCCATATCGCCGCAAGCATGAAGCAAATTGTGTAAATTTCGCGATAAAAATATGATTGAACCTGTCTTATGTGTGAGTTATTTTCACGTTGTCGATTTGGCGTCGCTTTAAAGGGGCAAGATTGGATATTACTCACAAGTGCCTCCAAAATCCCAACATATACCAATATTTGTAAACCAAAAGATATGTAGTCACTCAGTGACTGAACATGGCTGAGAAGAATCTTTCGTCCGGCCGCTAACGCATTCCGCTTCGCCACGACTTCTTCCCAGAAGAAGATGGGGAAAATACCATATGCGTAGTATCTCCACGACGACTTTTGAATCCAAAAGATAGAATACAATATGACGAGTATGGACGAAAAGAACATTGTACTGAATGTCGTACGGCTTGGGACGGAAGATCCATGCAGTACATGGAGATCGAGCACTGTGGTCAGGGCATATGCAATCCATCCGAGATAGCCTGCAGTGACTATAGTTCTGAGGAATAGCCAGTCATAGGTCTGCAGATATCGCAGGCCTTCTAGAGCGGTATGCAAAAGATTTGAAGATTCCTTAATCGCCTCGTCATATTTCTTCCTCGAAATTAACTTTTGAATTTCAGAGATGCGTTTCTCAATCGAGTGATCATCATCCCCGAAAGCCCGATATGGTTGGTACCGCAAAGTTGATGCTCGTTTGTTTTCCTCTTTGACCCGATACATTTCCAGAACCCCTTGCGTATTCGCCAGAGCGGCCAGAGCCTTTTCCTTGGGAGACGCATCAAGGTAGGAAAGGGGAAGCTCCCCAACCGAATTCACTGGGAAATCCAGCCCAACCAGGTATGCCATGAGAGCAGCCACATCGGCCTGGGCAACATCGTGTCTGTGAACGTTGTCCAAGTTCCAGTCCGACGAGAACCCATCCTCATGGCCTGGTGCTTTCTTCCTTTTCTGAATTTTCGGTTTAGCGACGCCGGAACCCCAGGCCACCAAGGGAGTGCGGGTGTTGTCTGGATGCCCATCACCATGGCTCCCCCAATCACTCATGCCATGATCAGCCGTAAAAATGAAGGCGGATTCATTGTCGCCGTAAAATTCCTCAACCAATCCCGTAATCTCCTTCACCCCTTGGTCGACAACCTTGATATTATGCAGATACTCCTTTGAATAAGGCCGAAAAAAGTGGCCAGCCGTATCTAAACCGAGCAAATGCAAAAAGAAAACGAGCTTATCCTCCCTCAAGCGCGCATCGAGCTCTGGATCCTCCTTTGCCGCCGCAAATAACGCCTTCACCTTCTCAAACACCCATATATCCAACTGCGACCCGTCCTTGCTAAAATTCTCAGCTTCATCGTCATATGATTCCGCATCGATCTTCCCAGGCGTCGCACCCTCCTTGAACATCGGTAGGATATCCGGACTCCCCCAGCTCCAGGTATGTCTGCTGCGATTGAAAACGCTGTCGAAATTGACCGGATTGAGCTTCCACCCCGTTGTCACCGACGACACATCCTCATACAACCCAGCAATAAGGGCGACATGTCCCGGCCTAGATTCGGTAGGTACCCGCGTATGCGACACGCCAAAGGTGCCATGGTGAAGGACGCGGGAGCGAATGAACGGTGCAAGCGGCCGAGGCGGGTTACTATCTGACGGCACAGAGCTATAATCTGGATCCAGAACGCCTCCCGGCGACGGGTCCGGAAAGGATTGGAACGCCTTGTCGGCGCGCAGACCGTCGCCGACGAAGAGGAAGAGTCGCTTTGCGGGGGCTTTTGCGGAGGGAGCTCGTTGGACGCCGAATTCGCGCATGCCGCTGACGATGGGGCTGACGAAGTAGATATCGAATATCGAGTAGGTGTATATCGTGTGGAAGATAATTGCCAGGGCTAGAAAGCCGACCCGCCTGGGCAAAGCCATGGTGGGTGGGAGTATTCTTGTGACCTAGGAGACAGTTGCGTTGTAGGCGAAGGTTTTATACAAAACCGATCTTGTTAGCTACCATACGTGGAAAAGGAGCGAAAACGGTCTAGAAGACCTTGTGAGATGTAAAAAGGTTGGGGATAAGATATAGTTCCAGAGAGCTATCGAGTCATTGTCGCAGTTCGTTGTATAGAAGCGCATGTGCTGCAATGCAGCATAGAAGCGGTTGATGGCTCAATGCTCTCCTTATTCTTCCTTGGAGTTTTACTAATATATTACTAATCTTAGCGGCTTCAACCACGTTCAATGCTACGAGAAGAGCATTTACATGACACGAATGCTTCCATAGAACTCTTATAATGAGAGTAGTTAGAGATTCAAAAGTATTGTGTATCTAGACAATGTTCAAACAGAGACAACTTAGTCAAAATATCAACGGGTACACGCCGCTAGTAACAACAAAATGACAACTGAGAAACACGCGCGCTCTCGCTCAACATCTTGGTTAAAAGTACAAAGGTCTTATGCTCCTTAAAAATGTTAATGATTTGAGCGGATTTGCTCAAATGTGTATGTAAATGTCCTGCATGATCTTGGAAAAATAAAAAAATAAAATAAAAGATAAAGATAAAATAAAAAGGGATGATAATAGATGTCACAGCTCCAAATCCTAATCATCTGTCCGTCTCGATTTCTTCGTAAGCGTATCCACCACCCGACTATAAAACACCGAGGCATGTTGCCGTGGGAAGGTTATATCTATAGATAGGTACTCGGGGAGAATATCAACCAAATCACGATCGCGGTTGGGGTCCAGAAGGGGGAAATAGTGGAACTCTGCGGCTTCAAAGCTCGTGTTTTCCAAATCGTGCGCAACTGCGAGTTTGAAGTGTAGTGCTAGTAAGATGGGAATTGAATGGTTAGCCTATTTAATTCTTTCCGCTGTGTTGCAAAAAGAAGTGGCTAAATAGCAGTGATACGAGAAAAGACAACTTACTTCCATTCATCCCTGTCTGTATACAGTCATACAAGTGATCAGACTCTCGTTTCCTAGCGTCACGAATAATAAGGCCTGTGAGATCACTGTATAGGTCTTCCTTTAGCTGGGCTATCTGAGCAGCATGGGCAGCTTCCGCACTGCCCATGATCGATCGTGAAACGCCGCCGCTGTTAACTTTGGCAGCGCTTCCAGGGCCTTTGGAACCTGTAACACATTCCAGATTTGTTGCTGCGGTTCGTGAGGCGGCCAACTTCATCTGGAGGGCCTTTATCTCGTTTTGGGCATCGGTCAAGCCAGAGTTCAAGTGTTTGATTTTGGCCTCCAGCTCGGCAACCTCGTCATCCCGGTCCTGCAGCTGTTTTTGAAGGGTGCGTGATTCTTTGGCTAGGGTGGTTTGCGTGGCGAGTTCTTTCTTTAGCGAGGCAATTAACTCATTGGATGCTGCCGGGTTTGGGAGTTAGTTTTGGTTCAGCTATGTAAAGTAGAATGGGGCTATTGCAATTGCATACCTGCAGTATTCGCCTCGCATTGCTTCCGTAGCTTCTCCACGTTGGAATTGGCTTCGAGAATCCCCACCTCACGCAGATTTCGATACTTCATATCCATATTCTCGTATTTTTTCGTCATATCTCCTAGCTTCCTCCGTAAAGTCGCTTCACTGTCGCCCTTCTCAAGATCCGATACGGCTCCCGTAGCTTTACGCCGTTGGTTGGCTGTCTGGGGTGTTTTATATTGTAAGTGGCCGTTGGCGGGACCTTTGATGGGAGAACGAGATATAGATCGTGCAGGCAGGTAATGGTTTTCCGGTAAAGCAGGCTCCTCCGCTTGCTCCGCTTCCTCCGTTTCCTCCCCTTCCTCCTCTTCCTCCTCTTCCTCCTCTTCCTCCACTTCCTCCTGCTGCTGCTCTTCAATCTCTGGTTCAACCTCAGGCTTCTTGCGTCGCGTCACAGGTTTGATTGCAGGTTTCTCTTCCGTGGGTTGTTTACTTGGTTTGGGATGACGCGATCCCATCGGGGTATACTCAAATCCGTCATCTATAGTCACGCGTTTGCCAGGCGCTTTCTTTTGTTGAGCTCCAGTTTTCGTCCGACCACCCGCTCGAGTGCCACCATGCGCTGTTGTTTCTGGAGAGTTAAGCTCATCATGCGATGGCTGCTCTGGCTCTGGCTGTGGCTCGTCGTCCAAATACTTCTCCTGGTCGCTTTCTTTGGAAAAGCTAGTATCCACAGTCTCGTGGGCCTCTTCGGTGTCTCCAGGTGATTTGCGACCTCTGCGGGTCGTCGTACCTCTAGCAGGACGACCTCGTTTTGGTCCTACGATAACAGTCGAGCGAGCTTTGCGGGTACTAGGTTTCGCCGCAGTTGTGGCTTTGGCTGCAGCGCTTCTCGGTCTTCCAGGTCTTGCCCTTTTTGTAGGGGGCGGAGCGGTATCCGTGGCTTCATCGTGGGTGTGTTCTCCGCCGCCATTCATCAAAAGGTCGTCCTCCAAGTCATCATCTACTAATCCGGACAATTTCGACGCGGCTTTCCGCTTTGGCATAGTTCAAACCAAAGAAATAGTTTCTATTACTTTGCGTAGAGTCCGGTAGTGGTAATCCGAGAATCCCAACTGCAGTTGGCTGTGTTAAATAAGCCTGGCCAAAGCGCGTGGGAGACGTTGGCGGCGATAGTTAACTGAGAACATGTGATCGCGGCTCGGCTGGTGCATTTTTCCTTTTTCTTGGACTACAGAGTTGAACTCGGCTTCAAAAGCACCACCACCCGCCCTTTCATTTGAATTTTATTTAATGTGCTTTAAGACAAGACACAAGAAGACGCCTTTTTTTAACTTCCTTCCATAGACCTAGATCACCCTTCTTTTGTTTAAAGCCTCACCCCCTTGGATTCCGCTATACTTAGCTTGCGACGAACGCCAATCCCACTACATATAACCCGCCATGGCCTCGGGCGGCGGCCGCAAATGGCAGCAATTATTACAGGAGCTAGTAATGATTGCTGGCACGGTAAGGGACATTGAAATAATAGCAAAAAGTATCCTGGTCTGCGAAATTCCGTTGCTAACATGTGCATATCTCGCAGTCGCTTTCCACATATTTTGTCGTCAGATTCCTGCTTTCCAAAGTCGAATTCGATCCCGATAGCCAAAAACATGAGGAAGCAAAGCGAAAGTCTGCAGCTATATTACGAAGACTCGATGGCCCCGAGGATTCGGACGACGAGTCCCCCAGCCGAAAGACAGGCTCACGGCGACAAAAGAAGCAAAGGAGGGAGGACCTCGTACTGTCGCAATACGAACAGACCATCGCGATGGACGTCGTAGCGCCAGAAGACATCCCAGTATCCTTTAACGACATCGGTGGACTGGAAGATATTATTGAAGAATTGAAGGAGTCGGTCATATATCCGCTAACCATGCCACATCTATACTCATCCACGTCATCGCTCCTCAGCGCGCCGTCAGGAGTGCTTCTCTACGGGCCGCCCGGCTGCGGCAAGACGATGCTGGCAAAAGCGCTGGCCCACGAGAGTGGCGCCTGTTTTATAAATCTTCACATCTCAACCCTAACAGAGAAGTGGTACGGCGATTCGAACAAACTCGTCAACGCCGTCTTTTCTCTCGCGCGTAAACTGGAGCCGAGCATCGTATTCATCGACGAGATCGATGCAGTACTGGGGACGCGGCGGAGCGGCGAACACGAGGCCAGCGGCATGGTGAAGGCCGAGTTCATGACACACTGGGACGGGTTGACCTCTTCCAGCACCTCGGGGCAACCGCAGCGGGTTCTCATCCTTGGCGCAACGAATCGGATCCAGGATATTGACGAGGCGATTCTCAGACGCATGCCGAAAAAGTTCCCCGTCACCCTTCCGCCCACTGCGCAGCGTTTGCGGATATTAGGGCTTATACTTCAGGACATAAAGGTCGACCGGGAGAATTTTGATCTGGACTTCCTGGTCAAGGCTATGGCGGGGATGTCAGGTAGTGATATCAAGGAGGCTTGTCGGGACGCTGCAATGGTGCCTATCCGGGAGCTAATACGATCGAAGCGGGATTCGGGCATTACGATGGAAACCGTGGATCCGGATGAAGTGCGCGGTCTGCGAACGGAAGATTTTTTCAAACGAGCCGGTGGCGTGAGGGCTACCGGTGATGTGGGTAATAATGGTGCTATTGTCAAGCGCAAATCTGTGCTAGCAAAGGCCATAAACAGCAAGCCATTGTCTGAAAAGGATTGGATTACTGATTCTGAAGGCGGTGGTGACGATCGGGTTGTTGAGCCGGAGTTCATCCCTATTGATGAATGATGGACTGAGTTTCCCTGTCATGGCGCAAACTTATTGCCTCTTGTTATATTCATACACGTATATATATATTCCTTAACAATTCTTTTTAATTATATCATTACACTCCTATCCCTTGTTCGCGTGTGTATAGTATGCTATCTTTTCAAGCGTGTCAGATGGTGGGAAGATTTGGGGCTTCCCTTGACAAATATGTTGACTGTTAACTACTCCGTACATAGAAATGTGACGGCGTTCTGGGCAAGGGTTTACATTATTTCCTATTTCCCAAGTTATTTGAACTCCAAAAACATACTGACCTAGGATTGGAATTGAACTGTTTATCTCTACTTTTGTTTTCTTCCCACTAAATATCTAATCCGTAGCTAAATATATAAATATATAAATATATATATACATAGGAGTATAAATATATATATATATATACATAGCAGTATACAGTATATATATATACTTATATATAGGAGTATATATATATATATATATATATATATGTACGTATACTCCGTATATATACTTATTATTATATATATATTTATATAGCAGCGCAAGAAGCGAGCTAAAAAATGACGCCATCCCATCCCTCACCGCCCCCGGATCTGCCCGATCCCAACCGCCGCATAACCAACCACGACCAATTAATTCATCGTCATCGCCAGTGTACACTGTACACTGTACACTGCAGACAGTCTTCATTAATTCTTTGAGAAATACTTACTAGATGCTTTTCATATGAACACCAAATATAACATAGTTGAATAGGTGCTGGCATTGATAGCTCCATTGTTTCCGTCTCCCTCTCATCCCATCCCATCCCATCCTCCCAACGCCCTCATCCCTTCCCCTGTCTGCCTGTAAACCAGCTCTCAGCAATGGCCGGTGCTGAGAATCCACACTCTGCTGGCGACAGCTCGTCGGACAAGTCGAAGATCCTCCCGAGAAAGACGGTGTCCGGTATCGATATCGAAGGCCACAATCTGCCTCCCTCTCCCGCCCCCTCCAGTCCTTATAACGGCCGGAGATATGCACTAGCTACGGAGCTAGTATTTACAGAGGGCAATGACCAGTTCAATGCGAGCAGTGTGCCTATCTACCAGGTGAGAGAGAGGCAGCGAGATGCAATAGATGCAATAGATGCAGTTGGTTGTAACGACCAATGGTCCTATTGCCCCTGCATATTCAGTTTCATTTTACCATTAGAGAAATAAGACTTAAATATGTATAATTTTAGAGTGCGACCTTCAAACAAACCTCCGGAGCTGGCGGCGGAGAATATGACTACACACGATCCGGTAACCCCACACGAACACATCTAGAGCGCCATCTAGCGAAAATTATGTCCGCCCAACGAGCCCTGGTGGTATCTTCTGGCATGGCTGCCTTGGACGTGATTACCCGCCTCCTTATGCCAGGCGATGAAGTCGTTACCGGCGACGATTTATACGGCGGCACACATCGTCTTCTGAAATATCTAGCTGTCCATGGTGGTATCATTGTTCACCACGTCGACACTACCCGGCCAGAGAAGGTGGCCGAAGTCTTGGGAGCCAAAACGAGGCTGATTCTGCTAGAGACTCCCACAAACCCGTTAATAAAGATAGTTGACATCCCGCGGATCTCAGCACTGGCGCACGAGGCAAACCCCGATGCCTTGGTCTCGGTCGACAACACCATGCTCTCCCCGCTACTACTCAACCCGCTCGACCTAGGCGCCGATATAGTCTACGAAAGCGGAACCAAATACCTATCCGGCCACCATGACTTGATGGCCGGCGTGGTCGCAGTCAATGACCTGTCGCTGGGCGAAAAACTATACTTCACTGTCAACAGCTCTGGCTGCGGCCTGTCCCCCTTCGACTCCTGGCTGCTCCTGCGCGGCGTCAAAACGCTAAAAGTCCGCATGGAGCAACAGCAATCCAATGCAGAGCGCATTGCCGAGTTTCTCGAAAGCCATGGCTTCCGCGTCAGATACCCTGGCCTCAAATCGCACCCGCAATACGACCTCCATCGCTCCATGGCACGAGGCCCTGGTGCAGTGCTCTCGTTTGAAACGGGGGATGTGAACATCAGCGAGCGGATTGTCGAGAATGCGAAACTGTGGGCTATCAGCGTCAGCTTTGGTTGCGTTAACAGCTTGATTAGCATGCCATGCCGGATGAGCCATGCTAGCATCGATGCGAAGACGAGGAAGGAGAGGGACATGCCTGAAGATTTGATTCGACTGTGTGTCGGCATTGAGGATGTGGATGATCTAATTGATGATTTGAGAAGAGCGGTATGTCTCTCTCTCTCTTTTTATTTTTATTTTATTTTTATTTTTATTTTTATTTTATTATTTTTATTATTTTTTTTTTTTATTTTTTTTTTTTTGTTGTTCTACCTATTATTTCCATTCAAATTTCTGGTTTTTATCTCCCCTGAAGCCCGAGTGTATCGATTTTACTAACTACGGCCAATTCAATTGGTATAGCTCGTCCAAGCCGGCGCTGTCACTGTATCGCTAGACGACTTCCAAGCGGTCAATCCGGTATCATCTCAAACATGAATGAGCCCTCGCACATAGCATGAAAAGGCGCGGCATGATAGCCCCAGCATTGCCATTGTAGACTTTCCCGTCCTCCCACCTTCCCCCTTCAGAGTTTCTTCTTTTAATGATTTTACCATTTCACGCTTCACCACCCACAACGACTGTACATATATCTACACAACTACAAGATGATCCGGCGATATTTTTGGGAGAAATATGGGTAAATAAAAAATGATAGTTACATATAAAAAAGAGTTGTGTTATGTCTATCAATATATGAATATTATTTAACTTGGTCGTTTATCGTCTTTTATATCAAGGTCATGCTTGCCCAACTTACGACATATACGCTCGAGTGAGTCAGGAATCAGGATTGATTCCTCTCTTACAGGCTGGTGCTACCCCTCTCCGCCTCAAGCCCTGGCTAATGACGTCACTAAGGTTATCCAATCCCGAAGACGATAGGAATGGTTTTCGCGCCTGTGATGATGTCGGTTGGAGCCTGTTAAAGCTGGCACATAGTTCCTTAATCCACAGGTGATTTGTCTGATGATTGAAGTAACTTCTGTTGGTGGAGAGAGTAGAGCAGCTATTGCGATAGGTGACACTGAGGCAAAACTTAAACTCAGCATACCTCTGTAACACACTGTAACTCCGAAGAAGAACCTTGCAACAACGAGGCCTTAGTAGTTTTCAACAATGCCCATGATACCAACGATTGAGCCCTAAGTTTGATGGGTTCTCGTCATATTTATTAGCTTCTAGCTCTTTTGAGATTCACGACATCACTATTCCCCAGGAGAACAGCATCACAGATATCCATACCCATGGGTGTAAAATCATGAGCAGGATATTACTTGGGACCTCACAACGAGAATGGAACAAAGAAAATCGTTAGGGCAACATTGTATTGCATACCATGAAGTTGAAGATCTTTGTTCATGCCCGCGATTTTCGCATTCCCCAACAGTGCTTTTGTGTCAGGATCTGGAAACTCTGCTGGTCTCCCCGCACCCCTGGCCATTGATTTTAAGCAAAAATGAACCAGTAGCGGCGTATCGAGGTTCCACACAGTGCATCCTCGGTCAACGGATGTTAGTAGATATAGCACTCCCTTTCTCACATTTGACGGCTGCGGATAACTATCTCTGACCGTGTCATCATCAATTATTCCATAACAAGCAAGTTGGCGAGAAAAAAGGCAAAGCATCCTAGTCGTTAGCTGGGGAAGAACAGGAAAGCCCCAGGTCATATGGGATTTTCCCATCTATAGAAGCCAACACAAGGCTATGTAAAGAGAATGCATGGAATCCTATGCATTAGTTATCTAGTTGGTCATCTTCACTGGTGTAAGAAACGCCAACGAAGGAGCCGGCTAGTTATCTCAAAACATGAAATAATAAGGCTACCCCACGTGTATTTCTTTTCTTTTTTTTTTTTTTTTTCTATCGGCCGGATATCATTTATTCAACGGGTTTGTAAAGCCACAAAGAAGCTTCGCGGGAATCGCGGTAGGGGGATTCGCGGCAAAACCAGGTAAGATACGGATACTTTGGCGGGGAAGCTCTCTTTTCTGGTATGACCTATAGTTAGAATATGTCGAAGAGAAGGGAACATTGGCAGTCGATTTCAGGTCGGAAATATCTGCTAGGCCGCGGGTTGTCACGCTCTGTCCATGAAAGAAAAGAGCCGATGGGCTCGAATAGTACGAATTCGGACGCCTCCAATTCACATACTACCGTCCCATTATCTGGCAATTCCTAGTCTCTAAGTTTAAGTTAGGGCGTGTAAGAATCTGCTGGATTTAAAAAAAAAAAAATAATAAAAAATAATAAAAAAATAATGAGCTTCTCCACAAGCTGGCAAATTGCCATATATATCTCACGACTGTCTCACTCAAGCAGTTGAAATATCCAAGAATTGCCGTAGTTAATTAACTTAATCCAGTCGGCGATGGCAATGCCAAGGGAATGATGTCATGTGACTTTACCGTCCGTGGTAGTTCTCGGTCTGAAATCGGGACTTGGCGCGGCTGAGAACGTTAGAATTTCTCTCATCCTTTGCCACCACAAATTTACAATCAACATGACAAGCGCCAAGAAGAGTATGCTGCATATTCTTCCTGAGTCCTGAGCAGTTGTTGTGTTTATTTCGCCTTCCTGCATTCTTTAATTACTTGTCATGTCCCTTTGATGATTGTCGCCGACACTCTCTTTTCTTGTTTTGAGGGTTTTTATTTATAGACACACTTCTATCCTTTTTGAGTACATTGTTACTGCCCATGCTGTCACTAGTCCATTCCAGCGAGACGAGTTAGATTTCTTCAATCTCTACTATAAATACTAGTAGTTTACTGTTTGAATTTCATCTTCCCTGTCCATAAGTATTGTTCTATGCCATACTGGCGAAAATGAGTCGCGGGGAGCCTGCATCGCAGTTGGACTCGGCCACTGTGTCACCTCCCACATCTCGATCGCCCATCACTAGGGTCTCCCTTTCAACATCAAAATGGAATACAGATAGTTTAGGATCAAGGTTGGCCGTAGATGCAGCCAGCGCCGCTGGAGCGGCGTCATTGATATGCCCGCTTATCACCATTATTGACAAGTGAGTTGATTAGCCTGTTATGTTTTTTTCACCCTCAAGTGGAGATTGGATGTAGCCGTAATTAATCTGCAGACCAACTAACTTCTCTCAATTGAAACTTAACAGAGCTATTATTGAGAAAGCTGCAAAGGGTCTTCCCATCCTCCAAAGCCTTAAATCGTCGTTGGCCACGATCGTCAAACGACCCCATAGTTTTTTCATCTCAACGCCGTTCCTCCTTATATACACCCTTTACGGATCTACATACTTAACAGCCAACGTTATTGACACTGTAACATCGACAATGGATGGTCGGGCATTCAGTGATGTCTCAGCTGGCCCTGCTAAATTCATTGCCACAGCTGTTGTCAATATGTCAATATGCGTTTACAAAGACGCACGATTTGCCCGTTTATTTGGTGCGCAGGACACCCCCTCAGAACCAAAAACGTCACAAAAGTCGAAGGGAACGCAAAATCCAAAGCAAAAGACTACCCAAACACTTCCCCCAACTTCCAAAGCGCCTCAATCTCTACCAATCCCTAAACGCTCATTTGCTCTTTTCTGCCTGCGCGACAGCATGACCATATTCGCCTCTTTCAACCTCCCCACGCTCCTCTCGCCTCACATCCCCGATATCTTCGCCTCCACCCCATCCTCCAAAACTGCTCTAGCCCAATTCTCCATCCCGGCGGCCGTCCAACTTTTCAGTACGCCGTTCCATTTGCTAGGTTTGGATCTTTACAATCGCCAACCACCCGGCGGGCTACCTGCGACAGATAGATGGGCCCGCGTAAAAAGAGATTGGGCACCAACCGTCATGGCTCGAATCGGACGAATTGTCCCCGCTTATGGATTTGGAGGCGTGGCTAATACCAAATTCAGAGCAACGTTGATGAAATCATTAGAGGAGAAAGGAGGTACGATATAGAGCTAGAATGATTGCGTCCAAATCGGTCTTAGGGTTAAGACCATCCGAGGGGCTATATATGATATACATATATAATATGCAGTAAAACGACCTGTTAGAATAACGACAACCAAAAAAAAAACACATACCAATTCGGATCCCTCACCCACGATGTCGACAGTCGCGCCCGACCATCCTCCTACCAAGCACATTCGCACGCATCGAGCTGTAAGAGAGTAGCTTTCCGTTCCCATTCTTCTGTTTTATGAAGTGATACCCCAACAGCCTTTTCTTTATATACTATAAATCAGCTGTTTGCCTAGACTTGCTTTTGCTTTTTCTCTAGCGAACTCTTCGGGAATTTTCGTTCGCATAGCGTCTTCTTCTCATTACATGATTGCATATGTCAAAGTATATTCAACTAAGATAGATAGGGTTTCCTAAAATTTGCGTTAGATACCTGGGCGGGGTAATTTGAGTTTGTTCCTTGGCTGTTTTTGAATTCTTCCCCCCTAGAAGGTACGAAAAAAAGTAATCAATAAATAAGATATAGGCCATCTACTTAATGACAATCCTTCACATTTTCCTTTCAATGAATCTCCAATGCCGAGTATCAAAAATAGAAGATATACAAATGAACAAAATGAAAAGTAGAAAATTGAGAAAAAGTAAACGAAATACTTGAATCTGCCCACACTCGGAATCGAACCGAGGATCTTATCATTACTAGTGATACGCTTTACCACTAAGCCACGCGGGCGTATTTGTTAGAATGGCTACTCGGCAATTGGGATCTTGTGCTATTTCAATGTCTAGCCTCACCCAAAAATGACAACATTTTCAAACATTTGAATATCGACGATAACTATACGTATGTATGTAAAGACCAAGACATCCAATTATATTCAGTTATTACGCGCGAATTAGTCCATACTCCGTCCCTCATGTACCACCTCCCTCCCTTTCCCTCCATTGTGTTGATACAATTTGGGTTGCCATCCAAGCAAAGCTGAATGAGAAAACAAAAGCGATCCCCTTAGTCTCTCAGAATTAGCTACGAAATGGAGATATGCCTTCTTTGCTCTGCTTTCACCCATTCATAACAACAGGTAATGCAGCCGGAGTGGTGGGTGCATTGGTTATGTTCCTGCTAAATGGTGTGGAGAGATCACCGCAGTGGCGACAAACGAAATGTGAAAAAATGAAACCCACTTTTTGAGTCCGTATAGATTCAAATATGGAACAATGCTGGATACGCAGAGAGGAGACACCAGGTAAATCCGAGGTTCAAGCCGCAAGACAAGGTAAAAAGGGAATAGCTGGCAGGAGATGTTTACGTAGCTCATCACTAAAATTCCTAGTTTCAACCACCTCAACTCGACCTAACTCACTTCCTCACTCTTACCTTGGTCACGTTTTCTAATCCCCTCCTGCTGCTTCTTCCGCTCACGGTATTGCTCCAGATTTGAAAGAATCACAGAGGTTGTTTGGCTATTGTCTTCCGCAGGGTGCGGAACAGCCTGGCCCCCTTCGATAACGCGGAAGGCACTGTGGAATGCCCATTGCACACCATGCTCGACAGGTTTATCAAATACGTAAGGCAGGAATGGGACGACGGCGAGACCAAGCTATTTTAGTAACAGTCAGCAATCATTGTATAGCCGTGTCCATAACCCATAATTGTAGAAGGCCTACCCCAATCGGCAACCACGTGCGAATCATAGTAGTCTTTGCCCCCCTAAAAGCACGCCCAGAGTATTTCACCACAGAATGGATCGTTAACGCAGGTAATCCCACACTAGCCAGTGCCTGGAAGACCGCCCGCTCAGCCATGACAGAGCGATAATCCTCTACCAGTGGAATCTTCGTCGTCTGCCACGGCATCAGGGTATCCTCCTCTGGATCCGGCCACGGCAGCGGATGCGTCTTGGATGCTGTCGAGTTTAGCGTTTCCTCCTGCTGGAGCTTGCGCCCGGCCATGGCAGCAACCTCCATATCCTCAGACACCTGTCCAGTCGCATTGCGATATGCGTCACATGCCGGAGCCAGCACTCGTCTGTTGCGCAGATAGGCTTTGTACCCTTCATTGGCAACATCGCCTAATATATAGGTCCAGGAGATACCGTATGCGCTGCGGACGAGCCAGGGGTGCGCGACGGGGCGGAAGGATTCGCCAATGTCGGAGGTATAAGCGACGTAGCGGTGTGCGGAGAGGAGGATAGTGCGGATGCGGTTGGTGTAGGCGGCGTATCGGTATTTGGTATCAATGGTATCCACGGAGCTAGGTCATTGTTACTTAGAGCTTTGTTTTTGGTTGAGGTTTTAGAGCGAGTGTGAGTGTTAGTTCCCATACTAGCCATCATAGAGCTGGTCCAAGAGTTCTTCTTCACGGTCAAGAAGCTTTTGCAGCTCTGGGTTCAGTTTCCGACGGCGAAGTTCAAGGTTTTGGCTATGAGATGCTTTATTTGTGGTGCCATCGTGGTTGTCATCGGTATGGGCTTTTTTTCTGATGCCCCAAGCCATGATATTGATAGACGTGTATTAGGTAGATTAGGTAGGTAAGATAGTTCCTGTATGAAGAGGGGGACTCAAGACGGTCCCTCTTCCTATGTGCCTGCGGCCTTATTAATACTAATACCTCATAGCCTGTAGTGAATGAAATAGAGGAGTGCACAAGCGGAGAAATATGAGGCTTTGAGCGGCATGCAGTGAGTATAGAGGGATCATCTCCAATGAACTATCATCTTCCCTATGATCGCGCAGCCCAAAGTAGGTAAATAGAGGCGAGCGCCGCGGGTACCTCTATCCAAGGTACCTCCAACATCCATTTCCACGCGTCATGGGTGGTGGCTGTGGTGGCTGCGGTACCTCATTTTGAAGTATCCCGCAAAAGCCGCTGAGGTCACTCTAGAGATCCTGCGTTTTCATTGGTTGATCGGCGGTTTTCGGCTTACAAGCGGTCACTAACTGCAATGGGAATAGTGTCATGTCATGTGAACTGAGCCTCCCAACCTTGGAAGTTGGAAGTTCTCAGCATCGTCAATTATTGATCAAGCGACTGAACATTGAACAAACACTCCAACAACTCCAGTCCCAGGACATCGACGACCGCCTCCATTGACTATCACATACCTCAATTGCAATCTCCGCTTTGACGATGGTCGTTTACTACACAGTTGCTGGCCGCCAAGTCGGCTCCCATGTCGTAAGTGTTCATCTCCCTTCTCCTTCCCATTCCCGCCATCAAAGTTACCAGCGCGTTGTAGCTGCGAGTCAGCATACATAACGTGCCCAATTGATAGCACACAAGTGAAGAATACAAGCATATATGAGTTTGGAACGTTATACTGACTTATAAACTTCCCTAATAGCTTGCCATGGCGACTCTTGGAGGCACGTTCCTCGCCACCTACCTCGCCCTGCCAGCGAAGACGGACAAGAAACAAGGTCCGCCCATTAAGGCCAGCAGCAAGGATGAGGAACAATTTATTCAGTACGTGTGAATCGCTTTTCGCCTACATATATATACACCTTCTACCCCGACCACCAGGTCCTAGCTTTCGCCAACCACCACCCGCTTGCTTCCAATTTAAAAAGCATGGATGAAAGTCATAATTCTAATAAGTGAATTGTAATTTAACACAGGGATTTCCTAAAAAACGTGGAGGCTGAGGAGAAGAAAGCGAAACAATAAATCAATACCTCCCAACATATTTTACCGCCCCTCTCTGTACTTAACCACGCCTTGTACGCCATATATCTTTCGCATCTTATATTCTTAGAGCTTTTCTCCTGGAATACTATCCATTTCTTTTTCCCTTTTTTTCTTTCCGCCTTGATGTGTGGAATGAGCCTGTCACATATTCAATTATAGAGAGGTGTGTGTGGTTAGAACATAGGCTTGGTGGGTGATCGATTGTGGGCAACTAGGGGAGTGGACAGCGCCGGTTCCAAAGGCTAACCCGGCAGCAGAAAGAGAATGACAGCTATGAATTAAGAGGCGGAAATAATATTCTGTGACGATACGGATGGATATGATGGGTTTGGTCAAGCTGCAAGCGAACAGACTTTGAATCCTAAACCAACCTTGCGTGATATCATCTCGTGCCGTACTTGAAACTGGGCCCTCACTTTCTTATTAAAGATATATGTCTTTTTCAGTGTCTTTCGTTTGTTATGACTTTACTTCTGGTATTTTCTTTGGTCCTCAACATTTCCCAATGTCCCCCTAATTGGACACCTCCCCGGTATGAAATACTATAGGTGTACTCCGTAGTTACTCTATACATAGAAAACTATAAAAAGTGTTGCACAGCACGTTGATCTATCGCCGAATTTTTTTATCTTTTCTTCATTATAGTTAGTGCAATTGTTCATTTACATATATTATCTGCAACGCTCGAATTGTATTGATGCGCAATCCCAAGCAACTACTGTACCCCAGTTCATCATTCATAAAAAAAAAATAAACAGTAATACGGAAAAGGTAGAAAGAAAACGAAGCCATCTAAATCACGGCCGTAACTCCACCTCCCCCTCAGGCTTAACCGGCCTGCCCATTTTAATCAAACCCGTCCTTTTCCCCAGATCCATCACAATACAAAACAACGTCGCGATGGAGCTATCCTCCGTGACCTCCCGACAAATACCAGTCGGGTAGCTCTGTTCATCCTTCAAAATCTCCTCAATCACGGCAACACTAGGCGGGCCCGCTGCTGATTTTTCCTTTACCAACTCCCTCACCCTCTTCAACCTGTCAAGGGTATCAACCAAATGCACTTTCCCCTCCGTGTCCAAATGCGGGCGGATGAAATGGTTGCTATGCGTGACGACACCCGCTACATCCCCTCCTCCATCCTCCTCCCTCTCTCCCATCTCCAGCCGCACGACATCCCTCGCCGAACACTCCAACCCAACCCCACCCGTCCGATCCGCAACGATGATATTACACGCAGCCGCAACGCCATATCGCTCCAATTTCTCCACGGCATCGGCGCGGGAGACACTGTCGAGAACCGCGCGCAGCGCGAGGTGGGTGGGCAGTTTGCCAAAGTCCACGCCGGCGGCTTTTATGGCGTTGAGGGTGACACCGACGCCGTGGCTGTTGAGGCCGATTTTGCCGATTATGCCAGCTTCGGTTATCATGTGAATTGTCGGGGCGGGAGTAGTTGTTCCTGTTTGGCGGATGTGGAGGGTGAGTAGGTTGGGGGATTGTTCGCGCTCCCACTGAAATAGAGTAGGTATGTTCTGATTAGAGTGGCTTATCGGGGGTTTAGGGGGCCGCCCGGATGGAGGGGAGGAATGCGGAGGGTTATACTCACATCCCAATTCTGAGCAAGGAAGCTATCATCCTTTGATTTCCAGGAGAAAGCCGTGCAGCCGTCGTTGAACATGCCATATGCGATCTCCGTGCGCACGTTCAGTGCCAGGATGGATTCCACAGGGACACCAGCTCCTTGGGCAATGCCTGCACGATTCAAACAATTTATTAGCTTCCCTAGTTACATTCTCGATCTTATGCATATGACAAAGGGAGAGGGGAGTATCATATTTATACTAAAAAGACAAGCAAAGGTGAAAAAAAAAAAAAAAAAAAAAAAAAAAAAAAAAAAAAAAAAAAAAAAAAAAAAAAAAAAAATCTGCACCTCGCATCTCCTGTATATATCCCGGAAACGTCGTCTCCAAAAACGGCACGAACTTGACCGCGGCATCGCATACTTGCTGCCAATCCATCAAACATCGCCGTTTGAATAGCCCTTCATAGAATTCAAGGCTTCCAGCTACCTGTTCTCGTGCGTGCTCGCCATGTTGTAGCCCTATCTGTTACGCAACAAAACAAACCGAAGGAGTTGAGGCTTTGTCAGTCTCCGCTGGTGTTTCTTCATGGAATTTTTTTTTTGGGAGGGGGGGGGGGGGTTTATACCTCATAAGAGTTCCCTTCGCAGGATATAGAAAGCATGGTTGCGATAGATCCAGTGGATTCGACGGCCTTATCTTGTTTTGCTTCTTTAAGGTTGTTACAGATGATGGATTTATATTATAGATCTGGTGGCGTTTAGTTAAATTTTAGCCTAGAAATATAACTTTATCACCACTTGAATTGGGAGTTGAAATCTGGCGAACAACAAAATCCACAATACATATATCAAATGCTTGTGCCAGAGCATCGTTCGTGAAATATATTATTCTACTTCGCTGGAGGCAAGAATGTTTGCTTGCTTTCCAATTCCCCGCATCGGGATCGTTATCTTATCAAAGCTCGGCCCAGACATTCCCGAATCCCGAGACCGAAATGCCGGCTCGGGAGCAGTAAGGGGGGCCAATTCCAGCAACATTGTTCTTTATACAGCAAGACATTTATAAAAGGGGGTATTTAAACCCCTACGCATGACCTTTCGTGTTTTATACAGATTATTAGCTGCATGCCCGGACTGGATATGGAAACATTCAATGGAGTTGGCGCCAACCCCGGTTTGATGCTTCGACAAGTTGATATCTGCTTTGCAGCCTCTAGCGGCTACATTGTCTCCCAAACTAGTTCATTAGAAGAATTTAGCATGTCATTCAGTTATTTTCTTCAAGTTGTGAGCCTGATAGCCATAAATATTAACCAATGTTCTGCAGCTAGAAAGTATTTTAGGGGTTGGCCTTCCGGAGCTGGAACCGTCAGAGATCGGACGTCATAGATGGTTGGGACGAGATAAATCCTCACCCCGTATATGATATCTTTTCAGCTATAAACACAATATGTAATGGTATATTTAAAAGATTGATCAGCGCCGCACTTTCATGGCGCAGGGCGCTTTTGAAAATGCCATATGTTTCGGACATAGAACCTAGTAAAATGCACTAATAGGGAGAAATCGCTGCATCCACCTAACAAGATGATATTAGCTATCGCCTGCTGGTCCTTGAATTGAGATCACCGTATCATGGCAATAGCGATCATGGTTTCGAATCTCTCTGTAGCAGAGGAGCTGCTGCGATGCCTATTAATAGGGCAACAAAAATGGTATCAAAAGTGCATTTTCTCTAAAGATAGCGACATAACATTGGCTACTATGGTAACATTTAGCTAGTGTGCGTATATTCGAGATATACAACCGCAGGGCTATTTGGAAAGACTGCCGTTTTTGTACACGCTTCCGACTCGGCTGAGGAAAGAAGCCAGTTATGCGCATCTGGCGAAACGAGACCCTTGAGGTCGGTAGATTTGATGCCATCAAATGATAAACTAGGCCCTGTGGAGATCTGATAAAGAAAGGGGCGATAGGGGCTTGCAAAGCCGAAGAAGGGAGAATCAGACCAGAAGAAAAAGGGGTTGTGGGCGATAAGAGCCGAAAAAAGAGAGAAAAGGACAGGGAGAAAGAATGCCAATCATGATTCTGAATCAAACGCGTAGCCTTCTCAATGAGGGTGGCTAAAGCAATGAGATGATATCAAGACTTTTCTTGACATTCTCCCCTGACGTATATGCAGTGCGTGCTGTGCAAGAAGGGCATCCATCCATCACTATCACAATGAACAGTGCATATGCTTTCCCATTAACCACTAGGCTTAAAGGAGAAAATACAATCGCAAAACAAGAAACTAGGGGAAGGGGAAGGATTACAAATATCTTATCAAACGGGCGCCAACCATCTGATACACGTCGCCCATCCCTGCCTTTCACTTTTTTGGTCATAAAGGGGAGGTTTATCCTGGACGCATATTGAAGCTAACAATCCCCATACAAGGTCTAGGAATACTGAGGGGTGAGAGCGCCTGTGTTTAAGCCCCTTAACCACTCAACCAGCTGGGTCCTTTTTGATGGTAATGCACACATTTCCCAATATTTAAAGGAATAGATTGTAATGTAAGTGAATGTGTGTTTTGATATTGTTGCGGTGTTGAAGCAGAACTGGAAAAGGGGGTTTTGTATCATGTGACTTCTTGGATCTTTGGCAAGCAATCAAGTTATCTCAGCAAGCTCAGACGCTTCTCCAGATATTCATTGCTGTTTTAACACTGGATTGATGATTATGTCATGAGCTAACCTCAAATAAGCAATAAGCTAACCCAAATAGTAAAATCAGGTCATGTGAGTGATGATATCTTGCAAAGTATCTGAGAAGAAACAGTTCCTGATTGTTAGTAACACAGGAAGGATTTACTCAGTACTCTGAGTATGGAAGAGAATTTCAACTCAACTTCATAGATTCATCATTTCTGTATCACCTTGAAACCTTAGAATAACAATGTTCTCGCGATGTATCTGATTTTTATATTCATATCTCAAGTTCTTAGAATAGAAGTATCATCTCAAAGTTGACCAGTGTGTTTTTGAACACAGGAATTTTGATTCAATTTCTCATACAAAAAAAAGCTCTTAGAAATTCTGAGATCAAAAAATATGATCATTTTCAAGAGTATACATCTATCTTAAATATAGATTTTTTTGAAATATTAAAGAAATATTTCTATTCTTCTTCTCTTTAGCTATAAGCTAAGGTGATTTTCAAATCTCAAAGATATGTGAGTATATAGTAATAGAAAGTCAAAGTTGAAGAATCTGAAAAATCCTTGTAAATCTCAGGAATCTCCATTGAAGATGGAACCATTTCTTCTCAGACCCTCTGGCGAGGATTGCTCTGAGCACATGACTTGTATCAAAAGTAGGTTAGTGTCATGCTGGATTAACTAGTTAATAATAATGCTGCAACCCGTTCAAACTGAGCCAGAGGGTCTGAGCCCGCTGAGATAACAATCAAGATAAAAAAAGACTAAGTGCTTTAATGAACAACCAATCTACAATAATTAACAAGCAGTTATTTATGTTATACAACTGGTATCTACAATCAACTGGAGAACAGATAAGAACCCCATTTGCCTAAATTCACCAATTGATAATCATTCATCATATGGAATTTCCCAATTACCTGCCTTACCAACATCGCTCATGAAACTCATTCCTTTCCCTTTACCTCTCACTGTCGGCACTGATGTCGTCCATCTCCCACGGATCAGCCGTCTAATCAACCGTCCAACTTCTAGAAATGGCAGTGGACTTAAAGCTACCACCACCGCCACCACCGCCACCACAACCTACCTCGACAGATTCATCCGTCGCATCCTGTGCGAGCAGGAACTCAAGGACTTCCACGCGAAGTTCCCACATCATATCGCAAGTACGGAAAAGTTGACAGCGGCGCTGCCATCTAACCCTAGCGCCAATAATATAGAGATGGCTAGATGGCTAGCTGGTCGATTTGCCGCCAAGGAGGCTGCGAGGAAAGCAGCCCCCGGTGGCGCCTCGACGATAGGTTGGAAAGATGTCATAGTTCGCGTTGACAGGGAGGGGGCAGGAAGTGGGAGCGTGAAGCCGGAAATAATATATTTGAAGGATGGAGGCGCGCACGGGGAGGTAGGCCAACTTTCCATCTCACATGATGGCGATTATGTGTTTGCGACGGTTCTTGCGGCGACTACACCTCCGACTACACAGCGCCCCGATGGTTGAAATCTACGTGGGAGTTGAAATCTACGTGGGATAAACGTTTTCTTCCTCAATTTAGGAAATGAGGACTATTCTATAGGGATGAGACAACTGTCTCAAGCTGGTCCATGCAATCCACATTTGAGAATGCTCGATGCTATCGTCACTGTGACTGAAGCCATCAAACAAGGGAATACATTGCAAAGGAGATGATACCGAGCACCGCTGAGTTCTTCTCTCAAAATGGCAGGGTTTCTTACGATTTTTTGGGGGAATGAAACTCATGGAACTATCCTGATGCGATAGAGACATACGGCTAAGGATATAGACTGCACTCGGAGGGAAAGTTAGAAACCCTAAGCTCTGCTACCATCCCCGTGTCGACGTTGGGAGGAGCTTATACCGAGGACATAGCCATCAACGTGGAGTCTTTATCGACGCGCATTTGGAATACACACACGTTGACTTCAGATTTGACCGTACCCCCTTTATATTTGGACTACGTCCAGGGTTCAAGCACCAATCGAATATACTACTACCATACCATAATTGGTCCTAGAAGAATTTGATATCTGTAAAATACTAATTTGTACCTATATTCGTGATTTCGACATTTTACAGGTCACCTACGACCCTTTGCCCAACGAGAGTCCTCCATTTATAGCTAAGCTTGTACCTTGTGGGATGGTTTAATCTTCCTAACGTCTCGTGCCTGTCGCTGGTGATATCACTATACCTGGCAGAAATCAGGATGGAAGCTCACTTGGCCAGGCGTAACCATACTTCAATGCCATCGTCTCATTTTTGTGTAGATTGACAGTTCATGTGTTTCTTAACTTTTGGGCTTAATATCAAACGTCCTCGCATTTTTATTTTTTTACCATAGTGTCTAATATGCAACCCACGGTGAGATGGAAAATAGTTTATCTTAGCGAATTGGAATTATCGCCCTTTTAGTATTGTTGTGCTCTGCCCACCAGGCGTCGTTGAGGGTTAATCCTTCAACTTGGATGACCTTCTCCATGTCCTTGCGACCTAGTATAGAGGAAAGTAGCTCCGTCTATATTGAAGCGGATGTATATAAACTCAAGCCCATGCTACGCCATATTTGATGGTAGAGAATTTCCAACGATTCCAACGCATCGCTTGCGCCTACGATTGGGCATAATTGACAGAGCCCCTTCGCTTCGAGGTTCAGCACCTGTCCACCAGCCTGATGAACATATGGCTCAAGGTACTCTTGGCAAGTTAAATTTGAAGAAGCAGACCGGGGCAGTAAGCCCAGCTCCGAGCATCTTATATCTTTGTTAGCAAGGCCTGTCGACGCCATCCCGCTGATTACGTAGGTGAGCACGGAGATTCAGTACATGAATATCCAGAAACCCGATAGCGCTGGGGGTGCGACGAGGATGCTGCGAATTACGGTTAATTAAGTAAATCAAAACTAACGTGGAATATATAGCATACAAGAAAAGGTGATGATTGGTAGCTTTGGAAACAACTGATTAATATCAACTGTTGTGCCTGTGTCCTGAATTCCTGCAACAACCAAGTGACAGTTGTTGCAAAGGTACAATAGAAGCACCAAATTAGCAAAAACCATCAGAATACCCTTTTCATCTGAAACATCTCCAATAAATGATAGTAGTAGACGAATACTATCACAGCAATCATAGCCTGTCAGGGAAATTCGGCGACGGTCGTCGAAGAAAGGTAGGTTTTCCAAGGATACGTCTTGGAGAGACACTTGCGAGCCTCAAAAAGTGCGAAAAGTGCCCGGCTACGTACACACGTTACCATGAGAAGCTGACTTAGATTGGGTGAAAATGATTGTCCAGGGAAATATGGAGAAAACTTGATCCCGAACATCACACTCTATAATATCTTTGAGTAGAGGCACAAAGGAACCCGCTAATGGTGTTTAAGGTTCTAATTGTAGCCACTCAAAATTGAGCCATGTAGGGTACCACATACCCTCCTTCTGCGTGTCTGATTTCTCGGGGCAGTTGGAAAACTTCTCCTTAACCCCCTAATATGAGGTTTAACGTTTAGTTTGTCGTTGGAACTAGCCTGAGAGCCGGTCACAACCCATTCATGAAAAGAATATGCATGTGTACACCGGATGAAAAAGAAAGAATCCTGGTATATGATTTGAAAAGCATCCCCTTTGGCAGCAGGATCTTGAACTCAGTTACAGACGGGGCCAATATTGATATGGCCTGCGCTGAAGCGCGTATTAAAGATTTTCCTCCGTCGTTTCTATGTAGCATCTTCGTTGTCCATAAGAGTCCTTAGAAATTCCCGTAGACTTTTATGCTTCTCAGTCTGGTATGCCGGGTTTATCTGGTACGGCATATTGGGGTCATAGACCAGAAGAAAATGATCTTCCATAGGCCAGAAATCCAAGCAGAAAGCGACTTTCAAGTAAGAGTCCGCTCTTTCGGATTTCAACCGCTAGGTACATTCTGACGAAGTGTGGAGAGAGGCTTCTAATAAGAAAGCACACACCAAGTGGGATGTGTCCAAGAAGCCAATTGAGCCGCGGCATAGGCTTTTAGTCCTATTTAGACGACGATCAGAACGCTCAAACGGATTGGCGCAGTGGAAGCTGGAGGGGGAGAAGCAGGCTCACGAGCCTCTCGAGCCTCTATCGCTGATCAGGCCGCACATGGCTACTTCCGTAAGCTTGATGGGAAACCCGTGCAGTAAAAATAACCACTGCCGGTCCGCACGACTCGCCATTAGAGTCGGTAGCAATAAAAGCACCCTGTTGAAGTTAGCTTTGCAGCACGGTTACACCATTGAGTGGGAATAAATGAATGAGCTGGGCGTTGTAAAGGCTATAGATAATGGAGATATAGACAAAGCTCTCCCATATTTAGCTTGCATGTTTTTATCAGAAACAATCATCTGTACTCTGTACCGTGCAGTGTAAAACAATCCCTGAATAATATCAGCTGAAAATCGGCGTTGTGGTTGTACCTGAGATCTGTCATGTGATCGGCAAGCCACCCGTGGACCCCGCCGAGGTAACTACCCGAGTTGGATAAGTTACTTACCGGAGCCGCCAAACGTGTGGATTTAGAGCATTCAAGGGGTCGATATAAACAACAGGAAACTCCCAGGCTATATACCCTTAAACATATTCTTTCTTTTCGCCAACCGCCGGCAAAGGACGTGTTCCGTTTTCCATTTTCCGTTTCCTTTTTCCTCGAAGACTACCGAAGTCCTAGTTTTCTACATCAGTAGCAAGCGAGATCATTGGTCCGAAGATATTAGCTCAGGGAATTGGTAAGTTAGCTGAGCTGAGTGGTCGCCTTGGTTTCTGTGTCTTGAACTCTTGATCCGTGATATCAAAAAGCGCCCGTTTTTGTTCTTTCGTGTTTTAGCCGTGAGAGGTCGAGTGACACAGACGTGCTGGGAGATACCTGGCCGCTGACTGCTGGATAGATTGTTGAAAGACCGACGCGCTTCAATTCTTTGCTGCCGTGAAAGCATCCGGGCCGCTCTACTGCAGAACAATACCCGGAAAAAACATTGCAAGAGGGAATCTTGAATTTTCCATTAAGCTCAGCATGCCGTTTTCACATCATAGCCATTCCGGCCAGTTCTGCGAGGGCCACGCAAAGAACTCGCTGGAAGATGTCATTCGGACCGCCATCTCAAAGAAGATGCGCGTCTTTGCTTTGAGTGAGCATATGCCGAGAGAAGAGCAGGATTTTTATCCGGAGGAAGTAAGCTTTTCTTTTCTTGTTTTTTTTCTTTTTCTTTTTCTTTTTCTTTTTCTTTTTCTTTTTCTTTTCTTTTTCTTTTTCTTTTTTCTTTTTTTCTTTTTCTTTCTTTCTTTCTTTCTCTCTTTCTTCTGTGCATCTGCGCCGGATGATTAAATGATGATCTTGATAACACAAAAAAGATTCCTTTGGCTGACGGGTGGTATAGATTGAAGCGGGTGGCACCGAGGCGGCTCTAATCGAGAATGAAGCCGCATATTTCAAAGAAGCCCAGCGTCTACGTGAGAAATATAGCTCCGAGATAAATATCCCCATTGGATTTGAGTGTGACTGGATTCGGCCGAGTTCGTTGACGTGGATCCACAACTCATTGGCCATGCTTCCATTCGATTTCTTTATAGGTTCGGTCCATCACGTACACACTATCCCGATTGACTATGATGTCCCCTTTTATCAGAAAGCAAGAGAGATTGCTGGGGGTACAGATGAGAAGCTCTTTGAGGACTACTTTGATGCACAGCTCGCCATGCTCAAGGCGTTAAATCCACCGGTTGTTGGCCATTTTGATCTGATCCGCTTAAAAAGTGATGATCCCGAACGGAGCTTCAAGCAGTGGCCGGCAGTCTGGGAAAAGATCCTGCGAAATTTAGACTATGTGGCAGGATATGGCGGGATATTGGAACTCAACTCCGCTAGTCTGAGGAAGGGAATGAGCGAACCATATCCCAAGGCTGAGATCTGCAAGGTAGATTCAAAATTCCGCACCCTTTCAAACGAGAAGGGAAGGGGGCCGAATGATCTCCGCCACGGCTAACTAACCAAAAAAAAAAAAAAAACCGTTGTGCTGTAGGAATTTCTCTCACGGAATGGCCGATTCTGCATGTCGGATGACAGCCACGGCATTGACCAGGTTGCTTTCAATTACCATCGTGTGCTCGAATTTGTAGAGCAGGTTGGCGTTTCCACCCTGCACTACTTAGAGTACTGCAGCGAGCTACCATCATCGAGCGACAGCTTCGATCGGAGGTTCCCTCACATTAGGCTGAACTCTATCAGTCTTGCAGATCTCAAACAGCTGGCCTTCTGGTCACAGCAATAACTAGTGGTAATCCCCGAAAGAAAAGGAAAAAAAAAACCATGACGACACCAAAAGACCCCAGTCCAACCCCAACCTGCAAACTACCCTTCCGTTCCCGGGGTATCCCGTCCAAAGCGGTGGCATATGCAAGCCAAAGAAACGTTCCTGGTTGCATGGTTTTCAAATCTACTGCTCAAATTTAGCCCTTAAAACAAAGTACAATGTGCCTCCGCGTCCTGGTTTGTGGAACGTGCTGGCATTCGCACAAGGTCTGAAAACGACAAGCTTGCATTATTTTTCTTCTTTTTCTCTTCTTCTTCCTTTGTTCTAGATGTAGATGACACAATACTCTACTCCGACTCAAGCAATAGGCCGGTCAGGTTCCTTATGTGGACGGGATGACTTGACCCGAACCTTAATATTTAACCGATGCCTTTATCCGCTTGCGTGCAACGCCATTGAGAAAAAGAATAAGAGAAAAAGCAATTGAGAAAAGAACCGAAAACAGCAGCTTGCTAAATTCCCACCGTTGCGAAAATCCCTGATGCCCCAATCCAGAAAACAACCATGCGCTAGTCTCCGTTCTTAGTGGGTCCGCTCAAATTATTCTTGGACGATCGTTGTCAGTTCCCGGGCAGAGCGAAACCCGCTGGCAGGATTTAAAAAAAGAAAAGAGAATAGAAGCGTGGCCAAATCATCACCCAAAAGTTTTGTATGCAGCTTATTAGCTACACACGAGTTACATGTGGTTAACCAAAGAATCATGACTGATAAAAAAAGCAACGGAAGATTTACCGATAGAGATATTCAAAACCGCCCACATGGGCATCTTCCTTCTCCCGGCTTCAAAACTACACATTACTCATTAGTTACCATCCCCTCTATCATGCTTGTTAATTCTCCGCAATCGGTTAATCCTCAGCTTCCAACAGCCAATCGGCGGAACAATAGGGAAAATGAGGTGTGTAGTTGTAGATGTTTTTGTAGCTGCGGACCTTCCTAATAAATGTCCTTAATCCCGCGGGGATATCTCATATCGACAGCCTGACCTGATTTTTCGATTATGATTTTTTTTTTTTTTTTTTTTTTTTTTTTTTTTTTTTTTTTAATAAAATGAAAATCAGGTATGTCTGTTCTAAAAGAGTCCATCTCCTGTTGGGCAATTGGCCGTGTGAGTCAGTCACTCGATCTCTTTTAACAGATATTAATTAACTTAATATTGAGAAAATATTGAAGAAATTGTAATTAAAATGAAAAAAAAAGAAAATTATAAAAAAATATATATAATAGAGATTGACAGTATATTAATACTATCAAATTTATGAGAAAACCACAGAAATAATTTATTTAGAATCTAGCTTCACTGAGTGATAAATTGACTAAATGTTGTAGATATAGAGATAGTAATAATAATCTTGTATTGGGCGGTAGCTTACAAATCATCTAGGCCCGGTTAACTTACTACTGTATGAGAAATGGATGATAAATTCATCGGGGAACCATCACGCATGCGTCCGTGAGAAAGCGCTGCTGGCTTTTGGCCCTTGGGAGGGGACGTGTTAGTTTTTAGTAGTGTGTGAGTGGAGACGTTGTGGTGATAATTGTTATAGGTTGGGCGCGGGGGGAAATAAATAATCGAGGAGGTTAAAGAGGTTGATAACATGGCGACGGAGAAAGGAAGGACACATATAATAATGAATGAGAAGGGGTTGGAGGAGCTGATTACGGATGTGCAAATTCTACGTGATGTTTGTATGTTTCTATATGGTTTATAACTTTCACTACTGCGTAGCCCTCAGCATTTCCTATAATTCTGGTGAAACATCTTCCTCTGAAAGGAATTTGTGTACAATCCTGGCTGGAGCGGGTTAGCGAGGCGAGGCTGAAGGTGTGGGTTTTCTTCCTCTTGGGCGTGGAGGGAGGGGTTATTCTGCTTTATTATTATTATTATTATTATCATTTTGCCTTTGCTGGACTCGAGCAAAACCTCCCATGAGTTCCCTGAGTCCCATCCCAGCTTAGTGCACGGGCAAAAATGTGCACGAAGAGGAATCTAGATCTGCGCCGAATCAGGACATGCGAGGAGCTTTGAGAATCAATTTAGCCTGTAATTATTTATCGCCATGGATAAGGATTTACGCATCCACATTATTGAGGGGTAGATTCGGACTTCCACCACAAGAAAAAAAGTCAGGCCGTGAGATGGAGAACGTTTTTGGACATGCACAGGTTTCATATCTCTGTGCTTTTGGTTTGGGCGAATACACAGTAACTACCAGTCTGAGAAATGGTCGTCTATAACCTGCAATGGTGCGGAATGGAGGATGTTGAAGACGCTTTGTTGACTCGCGCCTCAAAGGGAGGGGAGGGGGGGATGTGAGTGGATCGGCTCGGATCGACAGGGAAAAAGTCACAAGTAGATAATTAATTTTGAACTCTATTGAAATATTCCGTAAATCTCATGAGGACAGAGTAGTAAACTTGTCCATATAACTAACTAGCGATTCAAAGATATATCAAAGGGCCATCCTTCCGCTACCCAGGACATATTTCTTCCTTCGACAAAGCAAGTTCTCTCGTCCAAACGATCAAGGGCCAAGGGGGCGTGAACATTTAGGACTGAGCACTAGAGGAGAAGCGGCTTATCCTGTCAGGGCCTAACAGCGATGACTTTAGGTGGGTACTGATAGATTTCTCAAGTAACAAACACTCCTGGCTGTCAGCCAGAGTCCATGGATTGTTTCGCTTGCCGCTATAATTTTTCATCCTCCTCGGAACGGGACGCTGAGACATAAGAGATTGATGTGCAATATCTGGACAGGCGGGCAACAGTGGTGTTTACATGCCACACCAGGCACAGGGTCAAAAACGAATCACAATATAAAATTGATAAATAATTAAGTTCTTCAGATATTTGGCCAAGCAATCAGTAAGGGAGAGAGGTAGGCATCCTCATGGTCTTTTTCTGACATGTATTTTGGGCGGCTATTGCGAGAAATCGAAGCGTGAAGTTAAGAGATCAAAGTTGACCCTTGCCACTTTAGACAGTTCCGCGGGGTGGGTACTAGGGCCGGTTCCAATGATTGATGGGGATCATATTTTGTTCTTCTTGACGATTCTAGTTCTTGTATCAACAAACACACATCCAGATTCTGAATTCCGTACGGAGCCTTTCTACATAGTAGTAGGAGGACAATGTAACTGGAAGAGCTGTAACCTGGTTGGAGGTTTTCTTTTCTATCTAGCTTTGGTGAGTGTGAATATTGGTAACTAGAGTTCAAGAGGAGAGAAAGCAACCAACCCTGCGTACAGGGTCAACTAGCTCTAAGCCAGTGTCAACACTAATTCCTCGCAAGACACTAAAAACGCATCAGGCCCCTGATCTCAGTGATCTGAGCCTGAGAGTTTGGCTGGATCCTTGGTAGTCCTGGACACTAAATAGGAACAGGTGAGGCCTCTTTGTCTTTGGCTGGCGCTCAGATATCAAAATCCCCGAGTAACTTGACCCGACCGGTTTGAGGTTTATTGATGTGGCGCGTCTTCCCGGCGGTCTTGCAATGCGAGCCATCGACGAGAGGGAGGAGGAGAAGAAGGAGAAGGAGAATGTGCTTTGATCGATATCAGGATGGACATGCTGTCCACCACAGCCAGAATAATACGACGGAGATATAAAACTCCCGACTGTTAATAAGTGTCCATTTGCTATTGGGTCAAGCCGGCCTAATTTCCTCTGACTGGTAGGGTGGTGTTCCCGTCCAAACAGACACTTCCAGTGTCAGGTAGTTGGTAGGTACATCCACCGATTCCACAGGACAGGAATTGGGGGAGGACGTCCACAGCATCCACAACATCCCACAACGCCCATCACGCCCACATCATTCCATTCGTAGGCCTCCCTCCCCTCTCTGCCTCTCTGCTGTAGCCTGTAGGCGTTGCTGCTGGGGGTGTTTGCGATCGGGTCAGGGACGACGGTGGTGCAGCAGCGCGGCGCGATGTCCGCAGGGATGGCCAGATGGCGGGTGGATTACGTATGCAGCACTAGCTAATTAGCTAACTAACCAACTAACTAATTTGGGCGTTGTTTAGGGCTTGGACCGTGCAGGATCGATCCCGAGGTCTTTCTTCCTTCACCAAGACTGGAAAACTCACCACCAACCAACATCACCGCATCTACTACTACTACTCCCACCAGACAAACAGACAATGAACATTGGGCCGTCCCAGCAATCATAACCACGACACACAGGGATCAGCAGGCCTCTTACGGCTAGCAAGGGCGGGAGATAAATAACTCTCCCACTTCCTCCCCCCTCCTCTCCTCCTCGCCCTTGACTGAATGATTTTGATGCTGGTCGTCGGTCACTCGCGAGGCTTCTGGCAAGCGGACGAAAACTGCCGACTTTTGCTGAATCCTTGAGGACCACTTTTGGAGAGGGGTCGAGTCATCTAGGCAGCGCTCTAGACCTCGAAGCGGGGCATCTACTGGTCGAACCGCCCGCCATGGCCCATGAGGGCCCATGACCTGGCGCGCTCGTGTCTGTGGCGTCCGATCTACTGCACACCTGTGCCAAACCCCGTCTGTTGGATTTAAGGGTGTCAGCCTATCTGCAGAGCTTGCTCTCCACTAAAATGATAACTCTACCGCAGCCACTGGTCATTGGATGGTATTAACAGCCAAGCGCATCCAGGTGCAGCCCCCAATAAGCGTCCAGCCCAAGGACTCAAAACTCTGCATATCCAGCATGGGACAGACGATCGAACGCGACATCTTTTTGCTGCGAAAGTTGACTAATTAGATTTCAACGCGATTCCCGCAGTGGATTCCATCTGGAAACCACTGAGCTTTCAACCGGTGGCCCCAGAAGCTGACATTTCCCCGAAGCAAAACTCAGGTATAGAGGTGCTACTTTCGGGTTGAAAAAAAAGGTAAAAATTTAAAAAAAAAATAGCATGTGTGATGTGGCAAGCTGCAGCAGAATGGATTCGAATGGATTTGAGCTTCAATTCAATTGCTCGGAAGGCCGTTCCTTTTCCTTCTTCGTGGTCATGCCGTCTTTTCTTCTCTAGCATTTCATCCCGGATGCCTGTGACACCACACTTTAAAATTTTTCTTTTTTCTTTTTTCTTTTCCTTTTTTCTTCTTTTCTTTTTCTTTCTTTATTTTTTATATTTATTTTCTATATTTTTGCACTTGATTCTTCAACTGTGCCCCTTCGGATTTCTCCAGTTCAAAACAGGCGGGTTGATTTTGCCCCACCTCATCGTTCAAATTAAGTATATAGTGCACCTCCCCTCCCCGCCGGTCCCTGGATTTAGAGCTCTCTGCCACTTGACACTGTGAGCTTCCAATCGTTTGAATATTCGAGACATTCGTTACTTCTCCTTCAGCATTTGTCCTAAAGAATCCACCAGCTCCTCCATTTTATACGCCTAAAGATTAGATATCGATTTGGACAGTTATCCACTGGGTCTTTCGCTATGGGTGTTACAAAGACAATACTCAAGGCCGGCAACGGAGTCGACAAGCCCAAGACAGGGGACGATGTTGTGATCGACTACACAGGATGTCTCTATGACCCGGCGGCCGCGGATAAACATTACATGGGAGACGAGTGAGTTTTGCAACCGATATGGAAAGACCGATGAGCTTAGAAGCAAGGCGAAAGGGAAGCAAGAACATCGACTTTACGCTGACCCTCTAAATCCGGGATAGGTTTGATTCATCCAAAGATAGAGGGGAATTTAAAACTGCAATTGGCATTGGAAAGGTCATTCGAGGTATTTGCGCCATTTCTGTTTTTTTGAGTGGCGAGTTGTTCTCCAAGCACGCTGGATCACGAGCCACTCCCCATCGAAAATCTAAATTCATCACTCTGGCAACATTTCCGGCTGATCCTTGGGCCCTACACAATTAAGGCTGGGATGAGGCGGTTCTGAATATGACGCTTGGCGAGAGGAGCATCCTAACTATCACCCCGTAAGTCGTCTCGTTCCCCGGGTCGTTTTCGATATGTATGGAAAGGAACGCAACATTTGGTCCAATTACCGTCATTTTCATGCAAGGAAAATGTCTGGCTAATAATTTCCGTTTTGGGCTTTGTGCTACAGAGACTACGGGTATGGTGACCGGTATGTTACTTTTTCATTTATTCGTTATACCATCCTTGCGCAAAAAGAACAGGACCAAAAACAGACCGGGAAAGAATGTGACAATTACAGCCCCTCCATTCCGGCCCCTGTTCATTCATTCATTACTCGTCCAGTGTAATGGAACATGGCTTTTAAGTTCAAAGGGATGGGAACTTGAAGTTTATATCAGATCACTGACCTTTCCTTATCATTGGCGGCCTTCTAGTGGTTTCCCAGGTCTAATCCCACCAAACTCGACTCTCGTTTTGTAAGTACCAGACAGGCACCCAATTTTTCTCTCATCGTTCTTTTGCCAGTTTTCCCCTTGTCGTTTTGGCATGCATAGTTCACCGCTCTTCGTTCCTGAATCCTTTTTGGATAATTATTACCCTAAGCCTTATTTTCGTTTAGCGGGTTGCTTTAATCCGGCTTACGGCAGGTCCACTTATCCGGGTTGGCGTGCCTGCAGTGGAAGCTCCCGGCCCCTCCGCCTTTGCTGATTTGTTGAACATTTGAATACGACCTCGCGCCATCCAGCATTGCATTTCGAGATATCTTCCCCCCAGGCTTAGCCAACCAATTAAAAGCGAGAACATAATTGCCCGCTAACGCATTCTAATTCTATCACACAGCGAGGTCGAACTCAAGGGAATCAATGATCTGCGGAGTTGTTAAATTGGGACAGGCGATGGGGTGGCGCCAACCCGACAAATCGAGAGAGATGTTTGAGGACTTGAGCCCACGGAACAGCCCTCCGCGCCGGAAATTTTTTATTCTCGAATGCTTCCCGAACCCTTCTCCCATCAAACGGGCGTCCCACAAAATCTAATCCGCATCCCGCCTTCCTACGTCCATTATCACACCATTCTTGCGTCGCACCATACCTTTCTTTGCTCGTTGCCCGTTACTCTGCGTTCCTTGATCCATTATTCGCTACTCGACACAACAAAAGAACCTAAAAGAAAAGACAACCTATATATACTTCGACTAGACAAAATCGGCTGCATGATTCCAAAAGCAGGCAGGAAGCCAGGACAGGGCACGGGATAACAAGTAATGCATCTCGCGAACTAACGAATGGAGTCCTGCAACCGCGGCTCTCTTTCTCCTATATTGGTTTTCGTTTCGCCTCCTATTAAAGAAGTCATCGAATAAGATTTTTGTCGTGGGGTGTATCATTTTTGTTTGCCCAAAGGAGTAGCTTCTGCGCGTTTTCGCATTTAAGAGAAGAAAAAAGATTCGATTATACGGAATTTTGGGGGGGGGGGATTTTACTTTTTGGAAAACAAAAATTGGGGGTTGGAGGATCCATTGCTCATTGTTCTGGCAATTTCTTTTCTTTTCTCTCTCATCGGCACCCCCTCTTCGCAGCTCCTGATTTTTTTTTCTCTCTTTTTGCCCTCTTTTCTCTCTCCTTTTTTTATTTTTTGTGTTGCACCCCCGATTATCTTCGTACCCTTTTTAATGACCCCCCCATCATAATAATGTCTGGTTTTAAGCCTTCACTTACATTTACACTTAAACGAATGTTTTGCCCTAATGCCCTCATGCCATGTCTACGTCGTCGCCATGTTTTCCTTTCTCCTTTTCTTTCTTGCTTGGTCAATTTTTTGACCCTTTCACAAACCCTTAATGCCTTATACGGCTTCCATTCATTTATTCTTGACATTTTAGCTTCTTTCTTTCTTTTACCTGTTTTAATTTTTAAACAAAACAATTTCCGGGTGCTTCTCTTGTTTCGTTTTATCCCGCTTCACCTGCCACCGATTGATTACCTGTATCCGCCTCGTCTTGCTTCCTCTACTCTTCCTATTTCATATTATTATTATTATTCTCCTTCTTCGTATTATTTTTAGGGAACTTTTGAGCCATAGGCTCTCCTAATCTAATCTTAACCATCTTTGATGCGATTTCTTTTCTTTCTCTTTCCTTTCTTTTTTTTTCCCCCTTTAACGCACGGAGAACGGAGACAAAAAAAAAGAGCTCTCGGCAGTTTTTTCCAAACATGGTGGGTGGTTTGTGTGAATGATAATAGATAGATTGATAGATGCTGTCGGCAATAACAATCTCTCTTCTTCTCCTTCCAACCGCTTAGTGGCCTCTTTTAATTATTCCAACATGTTTCATCATAGTATACATAGATAGTTCTCTCTTATTGTCTAGCCGTTCATCCTACATGCATTCAACATTCTACGCAATTTATATAGATATATGTATAATTCTTTCATCTCATGAGGTGGAGAAAAGCATGGAGCATGGATACATGACTTACATATAGTAGTAGTATGAATAGAAAGAAAGAAACAAGTTTTAAATATGCCAATCAGGTAAAATCATATATAATATAGAGAGCAAAAAAAAAAAAAAAAAAAAAGAAAAAAAAGAAAAAAGAAAAACTTACTTCTACTCATAATACACATACGACACACATACAGTTTTTTTGTTTAGTTTTCATGAACTAAATAAAGTAACTAATAATAATTAAGACATACAAAAGAAAAGAAAAAGAAATTGAATTACACAAAACTCATGATGAAGACAGAAAGTATGAATGAGTGAAGAACAAAGAAGTTTTTAAGAAAAAATAGTAATTAGCTCAGAGTTGGAGTTAGTTAGACATGAGAAAACAAAGGAAAACTAAAAGGAAAGAGTAAAGCAAAGGGGTATAAATAGAAGAAAGTAATATGGTGTAGTAAGTAGTAAGTGATAAGTAGTAAATAAGTAGTAATAAGTTGTAGAAAGAAACATAAAAAGAAACATTGCTGGTGTGTTGTGTTGTATGGTGTGAGATTCTATACATATTGCATGTTGGCTCTGCAACCTTCTTCTTTCTACCTGAGAAAGATTTGATAGACAGATAGATGATAGTAAGGGAAAAAGCTGACATGAAACCATAAAACAGAATTGAACATTGAAAACCCTGTAAATTTGATAATATGCACAAGTTTTTGTGAGTGTTAAGTGTGGTGTGAGATATTCATTATGCATGTAGCAAGCACTGAGGACAAAAAAATAGAGCATAGGTTAAGGAAGGGTACACAACCAGTATAGTTAAGTTTGAAGAAATGATTTGAAAATGAAGGGGAAAAAAGGAAGACAAAAAAAGGATCGATTTGGCTTTAGACTGCGTATTTTGCAGTTCCTTTTTTTTTTTTTTTCACTGGCCACTCTTCCTTGTTTCGAGATCTCCTCGTGCCTTTTATGTTTTTGCTTCTCTTCCCTCTCCGCTGACAAAGAACGGAATGAAAAACGGTTGCATCTGTTAGGGACCGCGTTGGAAACGGTAGCGGGAATTCCAAAAACGCCGCACCACCGCTTTGCAACGTTGATATTTCCGTCTCGCGCTCCGCGACTCGGCCAATTGTAGTTGAGAAGAAATCGGCCAATTGCAATTGAAGAAAGACGGCGGAAGTGCTGGAAACGAAGAAGGAAAAACAAGAAAAGAGAGAAGAAGGCAGCGAGAAAAATAAAACCAAATCTCACAAGGGATCCATTCCCTAATTCCACCCAAGCGAATTCTCAGCCATGACAGGGGCACTGATCATCTGATTCCGCCCGCTCCCTGATCCACTACTGGTGCTCTGGCTATCTCGTGCACCATATGGGGTTGGGCTTGTGTACCCATCCGAGCGGCCACCACTCATCAAGGCATCCGTGGCAATCGGTCCAGCAGCACCACCGGCAGCACCGGCGATACCAATTTGGCGCATACCACTTGTCAGTGAGCTTGTGCGGCGGTGGAGCTTGCGCCTCTTGCGGTAGCGGCGCGCTACGAAGAACATCGCCGCACCATACAAAGCTGCACCACCAACGACACCAAGACCAATTCCGACGGAGGTCGCCTTGACACTGGAAGAGCTGCCTGAGCCACCAGGTCCCTCAGTTTCGTCGTCACCTCCCTCGGAACCCCCTCTGCCACCGCCAGGGCGTCCAATGGAACCGCCGCTGCCGCCGTTGCCTGGGTTGTTTTCCTGGTAAATTGGCCCTCCGCCTGGCAAGAGAGGAATGGAGGGGTCGATCATGGACATGAGTTTGGCAACCGACGGGTTGGAGTTTTGGTAGATGAGCGAGTAGGGGCTGTGGATCGCGACGGATAGTTCGTCGACCAAGTGCTTCGGGATATACATAACAGCTAGTGTAGCTGTGTACTGGAGAGTATGCAGCGCGCCATAGGGCTGGATGGATTGCATGATGACAAGATCGGCTGCAACCTGCAGACCATAGCTAACGCCGATGGGAACATAACTGAAGACTTGAACATTCGAATCCCTGTTTGAAACAACAAGCCCATAAGGGAGCGAGCTGTTGAACCCAATCTGAATCAGCCTCGAGTTGGCTGGTGCCTTAGGAATGCCCGAATCAGGAGAGATAATTCGAGGAAGGGAGGAGGGCTTGTTCGTTTCCGATGGGTTTGGCGGGACAGGGGTCGGTTGGAAGACAATACTGGTCGGGATTACCATCGAGGTTAAAGAATCGGTAGAGATTGGCTTCTTAGTTTCCTTTGACGACGACGATGGTGGTGGCGGCGGCGGCGTTTGAGTGGCCGAGGAGGTCGTGGTCGGCGTTACACTGGTAGAGTTCTTCGGTGGAACCCATCCTGTCGGGCGGTCTGTCGGATTGGGGAAAACGCCAGACGGAGTGGTACTTGGAGTGGGTATAACAAAAGTAGAACTGCTATTCTGGGACGGGATCGGGTCCGTGGATTTTGGGGGCAGCACGGTGGGTGTTGGGAAAGGTGGAAAAGTAATTCCGCCATCTGTGGTATTGCCAGGCGCCGAGGTGACCGGCATCGATGCCGATGGGCTCGGCGTTGGGGTAAAGATCGGCGGAATGGTGATGGAGGGAAGATTGAGGGTGGGGAGATTGAAAGTGGGAAGATCGCTGGAGGAGGATGGGAGCGGTGTCAAATCAGTCAAATCAGACCTAGTGCCGGAGGAGGTCGAATCGGTAGCTGAATCAGAGCTTGAGCTGCTCGATGGACTCGGGAATAGAGGGGGTAGGGTAAGAATTGGGCCGTCCGTCGGTTCGGATTCGGTTTCGCTCGCGGTTTGGGTTCCCTTGGAGCTGTCACTGGTAGTGGTACGGCCAGTGCCACCAATGGGTGGAGTGGGGGTACCAAGGCCTGGAAGCTCAAGGGTTGGGAAGCCCTCTAACAAGCCCTGCTTACTGCTTGATGAAGAAGAGGGCGACGGAGAGGGTGTTTGAGCCGGGAAACCTGTCGCGCCACCTTTGTGAAATGAGACGCCTTCCGTTCCCGAGATTGAAGCGGACGGAGGGGCAAATAGTTTGGGCAGTCCAAGGTCGATTCCGCCCAAAGGGGATGAGCTAGGGTTGTCTTCAGGGTCTTCACCTTTTGGGGTAGCGGAGGCGTTCGGGAAGCTTGTATCAACAGTTGTTGTGGACGTGTGGCCTCCAAGCGTGTACCGTTCGCCATCAGGACCTACGTAAACAGTGACAGGGATGATGACGACAGTAGGGCCTGGGTCGACTTGCGGAGCGCGCTTCTCTGCTGGAGCGGCAAAGCCATAGTAGCGATTAGCTTCTCGTGGAAAGTAATACTTTGGTCGACCTTGTGCACCAGCGTTAGCGGTTTCGCATAGGGGAGCCAGTGAGAAAAAGGCCGCTAGGATAGAATATGTTGTGGCCCGCATATTGACGGTAAGTTCCGTCTAGGCCAGCGTTTTCTCGCTCTTGGTATCGTGAAGGGCCTCCAATAGATTTGTCAACGCTGTAATCCCAAATTAGACAAACTAGAACTCCAGACGTGGGTTCGAGGCAATTGTCTTACAGTTGGGCTTTGGACAAATAAATGAGTGTATACGACAAATAGATGTCGAATGTTATTGTTTCTATTTGTAAGTTAGCATCCAGAGCGTCTTTACTTGAAGAAATAGGAGAAATCCAGATGGTAAATATATAGAGCAGCAGAAACAAGGCAGGATCATCACATTGATACAATTTATCTGAACAAGAGAAAAATTGCAGCAATCAACACATAGACAATATTTCGGTGAAGTGATAATCAGCAGGAGCAGGGACTGAGATACATGATAAAGAGAAAAATAGCTTACCTATCAAAGGAGCGGAAAGGGACAAATGTCCCAGAAAAAAGAAAAAAAAAAAGGAGTGACGAAAAAAGCTGGAAGTTACAACTTCCTGCTGCAATAAAGGCTAGACTACTGAGTAGGGTATAAAACTACCGCCTCGATCCTCGATAGCCGTGGTGGTTATGCAGAAAAATCGCAGAATTCGACAATCTGCGCGGGCGCAGTGGAGGCTGGAAACAAAGGTTCGTTTCCGTTTGTATTGTTCGAAGATCAATCCCCTTTCCAGTTCCCTAGGCATTCATATCCCGGAGTCAAGCAACGGACTTTAAGAGGGAATATGGAGAGACCAGGCAATCGATTATTTTGGCGAGTCCTTGAGGGCATCCAACCCAGCTTCGTCAGGTACCGCGTTGTATATAGTGGCCGGTTCGATAGACCAAATAATACAGTGTGACCGGCACGTGCACACACACACACACACACACACTTTTCCCAAAAGTCTTGTCTTTTCTTTCCCTTGTCTTGGTTTTTTCTTCTTTTTTTCCGGCAGTTCCTCTTGTCGAAATATGGCTATTCCAACTCAAATCAAAAATATTGAAAATAGTATTTTCTCTTTTTTGATTTAGATTTAGACAAGATGGAAGAGAACGTGATGGGATCCGCGAGTAAAGTAGATTCCCTTTGGGAAGACTGAGGGCGACCGATACTATTAGAAGTGTATATATATATATAGAGTTCGACGTGGGTTATGGTGAAACGAGCGGCACCAAAGAACTTTTTTGGTATAGGAGTGGCCGGACGCAACGAGGTGAGTTTAAACGGGGGAGGAGGAGATCTATCTGTCCATTGTTATTATATTTGGTAGTGTTTTCTTTTCTTTTCTTTTCTTTTCTTTTCTTTATGAGTTGAGTTGAGTGGAGGTTCGTCATGAATAAATACATTGCGCAAATTGGGAAGGGAAAGTGGAGGAGGAGGGGGCTGACGAGGAAAAAGGGGCAAGGGAAACAGCACGCACGAGAAAGGGATTGTCGGATCTGAAGAGGTCGCTGGGGGGAGAAGAACGACTGGATCGTCGACAGTCGACGCAGAGGATGGCGACGGAAGAGGAGAAGAGGAGAAGAGGAGGAGAGGAGGAGAGGAGAGGAGAGGAGGAAGTGAAGAGAAGATGGAAGATGGGATGAGTGAGATTTGGGCGGTGGAGAGGAGATGAGATGGGGGGAACAAGGCAAGCGCCAGCGACATGGTATTATCTCATACATACGGTACGGAGTACAGAAAATAATAATCCTTATACGAGGCTGACAACAACATTCTGTTTTTAGGGTTCAGGGGCTAGACCCACAAATTTGCTACCCACCCCGCGTGCCCAATCATAAAGTTACCATTCTCTATAACAGGGATAAATTACCATCCATACCATACCAATACGAATCCTGTGAACAAGGAACAAGGGAACAAACAAGAACCACCTTAGTTGGTGATATTAAAATTGCACACGCCCCCTGCACCATCATAATACAATAATTACGCTTGTACATGTACAAGTATTCATAATAATAATACCCCTGCATCTACGTAATCCACCTGCTCAACGCCGGCCGCTTCCAAGCCAGAGTGGCCCACTTAATCCCGCGCCAACCTAGCTACAACGGGACATGGGCCTCAGTCCGAGGTAACACTCAGATGACGCCCAGATGACGCCAATGTCATCCCACATGCGCTAGACCAGGGGCCGGTATTGTCCTATATTGTATCACTAGTGCTCCGTACAAAGGTACTGTATGGTTACAGCCTTACAGGAAGAACTTTAAAGCCATTTTGAGTTCAGGAACGGAACCTTGAAAAATGCCAAAAGCAGCCAATCATAATCAGTCAGAGATGGAACAAAAAGAAAAATGTCTGAACTAAGAGATGTAATATGTAAATTATAATTAGACTTCAAAATAATTTATTGAAATCTTTAATTAAACTCTTATATTATTGAAATTAACTCTGTAATTGATTATATCATTAAAAGTTTTTCTCAGTAGTAATAATTTTATTTATTTATTATTTTTCAATTTTTTCTGTATAAAGTATAAGTATTAATAAATATACTCCTAGCTGGCGGGTGGGTCGGCTTCGCCGCCCCGCCATGCCTCTTCGGGTATGGCCTCTCGTCGCCTCTGGTCTAGCGTCCACATTTAGGGTCTAGTGCGTCTGCCTTGCGTTTAGCGCTTCCCTTTCGGGTTTGGCGCCTTCTCCTCGTCAAACCACCATCCAACCAACCTTCCTCGCCGGCGATCTATATAAACAACCTCCCTCGACCTCCCATCTCGCACGAACTCGCTCTTTCTCTTCCACTTCCTTTTTTAACTTCTTTCTCCCCCGTCCTTTTGATATTTCCTATTCTATCCGTGTCTCTCGTATCTCCCCCTGCGCCCCAACAAGCATAGTGTTACATTACATCTCTATTCCCTTCATTGCAGCCTGTACTGCACAACTTCTCTCCCTTTATTTTAGCACGGAATACTGGTTTCCTCCTTGTCATTCGAGTCTAGAGACGGAACTGCACTCCCTCTATTCTTTCATTTTCTCTTCTTATCTCTCGGTCCGATGCGTGCTTGATTCAGATCTCTTGCATCGCTCTTCGCGGTGGGATATTTCAACACCTAAAGGTCGATCCAGTCTCGAGCTTCTGGCGGGGTGGCTAGGCTATTCTCATTGCGAACCATGTTGGGGCCAAAATAGTTTTGGATTTTCCCTTGGACCAATAGCAAAATTGCCTCATCTCATTATCTGCGGGTCTTGTAATTTCGGCGGCGCAGCCCCCCAATGCATTTGACTTGGGGCTCCGTTGATCATGGAATCTTGGATATCTCACAAGGCCATAGCCATTCTGGGAAAATTCGAAAAAGGGGCTTAGATTCTTATGCATTCCCACGTCAACCCGTCAAGGGTAAAGGGGCATGGCATGGTCCAGCTGTCATTTCTGCCTCGGACAATCTCGGTAGCCTTTCGATATTCCCTGGTGGTCTCCAAAGTTGGTCGACGGCGCTGGCTAAACCGGGCGATCACGAGCGAATATGTTTCTTAGCAGGTTCTGTGTGATCTGAGACCCTGGTGGGTGTTAGTTGGACTTTCACTGGAAAAAGGATGCTGGACCCTGCATTTCAAGTGTTTCCACTCTATTCTAAGTCTTCACACAAGATTGGTCAAATGGTATAGTCCTGCCGGTGGTAAACGGAGGAGGGAAAGAGGAAGGGCGGAGGGCGGGGGTGGCGATGAACGGGAGGTTACTTCGCCTATGTGTCTCATGGTGCTGAACTGCATTACGTAGCTACACAAGTCCTGGTTGCAGTTACAGCCAGGTCCAACTGACCATCAGGTGAGGCGTCCTTTTTCCCAGCTAGATTTGCGAAAATTGTTTAAGCAAGACAGATTGTGAGTTTCACAGCCTTTGTCTTTCATTTTGGATTGTCTATATAAGCAGCTGGATGTTTCTCTTTCCCATGAATGAAAAGTCAGTGTGCTTCAACTGTGAACTAAACAGGTGATGAAGCTCTAGAAAAACCATTGAAGATGACAGCGGACCTCAACAATATAACTTTCCATTTCCCACAGAATGCAAATCTTCCAAAGTTCAATGCATTCAAGCCACCACACACAAATATTCTCAATAAAACCCATTGTCATCCAATCCTCCCTCAACCTACACTCCCTTCTATCCCTATAACTTTGCCATCACCTATACTAAGACTTGCCCCTGCTGATTCCCTTCTCACAAAGCCCTCATCAGCACAGTCACTTCCCCAGAAACCCCTCCAGTTCCCTCTGCCTCCTAAACCCCAGTCATCATCCGTGCCAGTATTGCAAGCACTGTCAATATCCCTCAATAAATAGGAACTGTAGGTTCTGGAAATACTTCTTGGCTCCAATTTTGATCAGGCATTCACGGAGGTTGCCATGCTTGATCTCATAGCTGTTGACCCTTCAATGTGTGAAGGTGATGAGGTCCAGCACCCGCATGAGGCAGGCAGAGCTGCATCAGAACATGCCAGTAGGTCATATGCTCTTTGCTTCTGTCAGATACACAGCCCACAACTGACACGCTTCTGTTACCTGAAGTTCCTGATGCCCCACACTGGGAAGAGGCCGGTGGTGGTGAATCGATAGCCGCGGACATCAATTGCTCAGGGTTAGTGTCGGGTGATACAAGACAGGGGGATGTTCCAGGTATAATAGAACAGCGCCGCCTCTGTTGCTAGTCTCTGCATCAATGACCCAGTCACCGTTAGCTCAGCCAATCACAATCAATTCAGACATAGAGGATGGTGGATGTTGTCAATCAAAAATACAAGTGACCTTGGAGACTAGATTTGGTGAAAAAATACCTTGTCCAAATTCCTCTACCCGGCCAACTGGTTGAGATAGCAATGCTAGGTCTCAATCCCCGCGGCGGGAGCGCGTGCCCATGATAAAAATGGAGGAGAGTGAGAAGGAGCAGCAGTCATCACAGCCAGAACATACACAGCATTGCATGATGGCAGTGGAGATACTCACAGCCCTTTCCTCATCTTCTCTTGCTTTCAATCGCCATTTATGCACCGGCCATGATGAAGAGGTCAATAAACAGTCTATGACCAGCATCAGAGACAAGCTCAATCAGGACAGAAATGAATATAGACAACAATGATATTGAGAATGATGATGAAGAAGATGAGGATTATATTGCCAGTGAAAATGAGGGTGAAGCAGGTGATAGAGCACTGAAACAGTGGTGAAGTATCTCTGCATGTCTGACAGAAAATTCAAAATAGTGTCATTTCAAAAGCCGGGCAAAGAGCCCTGATAGTTCTCAAAGTATCAAAGGCTGCACTCCTCCTCCTGCGAACCAGAATAATAGACATGGCTCAGCTGAATTACTTACTGGTACCGGCTGGTCTGGTCTCCCCATGAATAATATATTGATGCTTGCTTCTGATATTGCCTCAGCTATGGTTGAGCAGCTTACAGATTATTCTGTGACAAGTGGGAAAGTTGCTGTCTACAATAAAAAAGATCATCCAGGGGCTGGTTGTTCAATCAAGAGATACAAAGAAAGACTGAGGGATGGAGGAAGTAGACTGGTGATGGTCTGAGGAGGAGGATGAGCAGCTTCTGACCATGGTCAAAGAAAATTGTTCCTGGTCAAAGATAGAGGAATGATTCCTGCAGAGGAGAGCGCCATCTCTCTGTCAACAAGTATCAGTACTTTGAAAGGGCAAGAAGTGTAAGCGTAGAGCCTGAAGATCTATAGTTCATAAGCATTAATTAACACTTCAACTGCATCATGGCGCCCCAATAGATCGTCTTGTTGGTAACCTTCAAAGCATTGCTTTTATTTGATGTGTAAACATTCGATTGACTAGGAAGACGATAGATGCTATTCTAGCCGCCTTTTCTATGTTCCTCTCCTTTTTCTTCAAAGTCTAGCGACCATGATTCCTGATGCATAAGTTTCATATCTCGTCTCGTGCTCGTACATTTGACAGTCGAGGTCATTGAAATCTCGATGTCGCTGACGTACGAACCTCCTAAAAAGTCCGCGGATTGAACCACAGAAAATTCACGGATACATGTTACACAAATGTACCGTTTAAAGTCTGCAAACTGGGCTGACGGTGACACTAATTCTCCGACAGGCTGAGTTGGTTGCTGTCCACATACTCTGCATTGCATGAAGAAGAAGTGACCGGACGGACTGGCGCATCTCAGATGCTTCAAAATTGTCCAGGGCTGCGGCATCCTGCAACGGCTCAAAACTGAAAATAATGTTCAATCTTTCTTCAGCTGGCTCAGTTGAAATGTATTGGTGAGAACTGAGATATTCAATCATCATATAGTGCAGGCTGGAGAGAAATTAAATACTAGATGAAGAAGTGCTTCACTTCACTGAGGTATTGTGATGCACTGATGTGAACAGAGCCAGTTTATGAAAGCACTAGCTATAGAACAGAAGACTTGCTGATTGTTGTAGAGATTAAAGAAATGGACATACACTTCTTATATGTGAAGTGATATATGTTGTCCTTCATCATTGTAATCTCATATGAGGTTGTTCAATCATGAGGTATCATGATATCTAGATCTCTAAATCATTTTTGTTCTTTCACAGCATATTATTGCCAAGTTTGAATATCTATCTCAAAAAAGAGGTAATATTTAAATTTTCAGTAACAACCTAAACTCTGCCTCAGCACACAGATCAACATGGTTAGAACTGTCATTCCTACTCTATAGGCAATATTGGTATTTTTGTGATTCTGAACTTACCCCTCTCTTCTCTTGGCAGATACTTTTAATTAAAAGAACATCTCATTTAAGAGGAAAATTTGCCATGTAATAGGTAGTTCAATTCTCATAAAACCTGCCTGATAAAGAACCAGAAGCTGACCTAAAGTCTTGGAAGATTCAACGAGCAATATCAGCTCTCAAGACATTGCCTACAATTTAATGTATCAAAACTTTTAGATACTGCTGTTGCTATTGCTGGTGATGGAGCTCGGTACTGTTGGTTTGATTTCAGATCCTACCTAACCCCAACATGATTATCGGCAGATTGGATGCTAAAGTATCACACAGGTGCCAAGGTGTTGAAATGCTCAGAAGGTCTACACAACAAAGCATTCATTCTGACGATGGATAATGGAGTGGAGTTGTTGGCTAAACTTCCAAATCCAAATGCAGGACCTGCTCATTATACCACTGCATCTGAGGTTGCGACATGCCATTTTGTAGGTTGAAATTATCTCCTGTTGTCATTGCATTTAAATGAACAATGTATAGCTGCGAGAAATATTTAATATACCAGTGCCTCGGATTCTTGCTTGGTCCTCCGATGCGTCAAATCCTGTTGGCGCAGAATATATCATTGAAGAAAAGGCCTCTGGTGTCCGACTTGGTAGCCTTTGGAATCATTGGTCGCGGGGCCCAAAGCTCAAGATAATTACTCAAATTGCGCAAATAGAGGATGTGTTGACTTCCATTAGTTTTCCGAAGCATGGATGCATCTACTTTAAAGAGGACTTACTCGCGTTGACTGGAGTTGCGCCAGATCTGTCTGTTAACTCGTCTGCTGCTCCTGAGATACTCTAACGGTTCTTCTCCTTGGGCCCACTCTCATCGCCGGAGCTTTGGAATAGTGGCCGAGCATCAATGAAATTGGATTGCGGTCCCTGTGAGTATCCTTCCGTTTCCAACCTCCGCAGGGTTTTTCCTATTTGCGGTATTGATACCAATCCTATAAGGCGAAACCCCCTTGAATATTCTCAGGCGATGGGGTTGAATGAAATTACGTGGGTCAAATCGCATGCTACTCCTCGAATGAACCACTATCGATCCAGCAGTGAGCATAAGCTTCCCGAAGATGCTATTCGCTTCGGCTACGTACTCAATACATAAATGTGACTCCCTATCTAGTTCCGCTAGATAACAGCGAAGGAAGCCCTTCTGTCCTCTGGCATCCCGACCTACATCTCAACAATGTGTTTGTAGATCCTGAATCTCATGAAATCACTTACATAGTGGATTGGCAATCGGCAGCTGTTGTCCCTCTGTTCTTTCAATGGTGGTGTACCGACAATGTTCCGTCATTCCAAGCCGGTTAGAGATGATTGGGTTGTTCCAGAAAGGCCCGCCAACTTCGAAAGTCTAGATGAAGATGAGGAAGAGACAGATTGACAAAGACCTAGAAAGCGAAACTCTTCATAAGTATTATGAAGTTCAAAACATATCAAAAAGCACCTCGTCGCTGGGCTGCACTCCAACAACAAAAGGCCACACCCCCTTCCTTCGAAAGCCAGTCTGGCTAGTAACCGGCGTCTGGGAAAATCGCGACCTTTTCTTTCTCCGTCAATCACTACTATCTTTAATGGCACACTGGGAGGAATTTAGGAATGGTGTTCCTTGTCCATTAAGCTTTTCAGAGGAGGGGTTGAAGCTTCACGCAAAGGAAGAAGAAAACATGGATGGTATCGGGCAATTACTCAAAATTTCTCAGGATCAGGGGGTGTTACCGGTGGATGATGGAATGGTTGAACATGAAGACTATGAAACGGCAAAGGAGAATAGAATAGTCGGAAGTATTCTAACCTTTGGCCATATCATATCAAGTTCCCGAATGAGGCTGATTTCTCTAAGGGATAACGGTAACTATGTGGGAGAACTTTTCTAGGGCAATGCAACCCTGTAAGTTAGAAGTGAGGCTGGCTCCTCATCAAAGCCACCTTGGTGCTGAATTCAAGCATTGGTTTATGGGGACAAGTTATAATGGCCCTAACGTAGTTAACTATTTAATCTGAATCACTCACCCAACAACCTATATTGAATAAATCTTACAATTTAGCAATGATCATATGAAATTACACATAGAAAATTATATACATTATTCCTTAGGTCTTTTGACATTTTCTAATAGTATATCCAGCCATATTACACTTGCTGTATAGCAATCTTGGTACAAGGTGTAATCTGAGAATGAGCCTTGCGTATATAGGATAGATAACCAGAGCAATATGATAATATGTATATTGGGTAAATGAATGTACTAATTGGTTTGTAAGGTACTACTGAATAAGATATAACATGTATTGATCGTGAAGTACGAAACTTCTCAATCAAAGGTGTGAATGAGCGCCCTTATATAGACATATGAAAAGGTCCCCCCCCCCATCCGTTCTTGGAGTAGAAGGTCTCTGACGGAAATGCAGAGAGCTCTGGGGGAGAGGAGGAAATGGATATTATCAAGGCCACTGGCTCAGCAGGGAAGCAATAATATGGATCAAATGGTCGTCGTCTACCTGATCAAGGAGCACCAGATCTTCCAGATTGAGGGCGAGGCCGCGTTTACGGCCGTCTTCGAGGAGCGGCCTTGAGCTTGTTCAATGCTTGAAATGTCACATTCACATCTCGCTCCAGCTGATACAATAATATTAACATGGATTCCGGGGGCTCCACAGTAACCGGTAAGTTAAGTAGTTAAGTTAGTGAGTTAAGTATATTTTATTTAAATCAAATGGTCGTCCCCGTGCCTTGAACCTCTCCTTGCCACTTGCGTTGAATGTCCAGATATGATATCCGACTATTTACTTCGGCAACACGATGTGTAAAGTTATGCTGCCTCGAGTGCCTCGATGGCTCCTTGTCAATAAGCTTGCCTTCAGTATCTTACTTAGATCATCCTTCAGCTCAACAATCATTCTATTCACACTTTCTAAATGCCAAGTACAGTATTCACATCAACCGCCTCTGCCATTTACCCTCCAGTGAGCAAAAATAAATAAATAATAGCAACAGTAATAATAATATGTTCCATGCCCAAATTTGTTTTCGCGGCAAACCCAGCACCAAATCGAGATCTAGTCGGTCATCACATCAACCAACACAACCAAACCACCTAACCCAGCCCAGGCCCTCTTCCTACAGAAAACCGAACTCGGTCTCGCGTTTTGCCTATTATTATGGAATTAAAGAGAAGAAAAAAAAAAGGACCCCAGACCCCGTTTTGAATCCTTCCTTGTTTGTTGGTTAGTTCCGCTCCCTGCCAAGTTGTCATTATAATTAATAATTCGATAATTCCATGAAAGGGGAGTAGCCTGACCGAGGGAAAGGAGGGTTGTGAGGGAGAGAAGAGCTCGGTTTCGGAGGAAAAATTTTTAGCCTCCACTTTCCGCGGACCACTTTGCTCGTTCTGTAACTACAGGGCTGGGTGATGAGGACATTTTTTTTGAACGAACTTCTTCACGATTGAGGGATGTGAGCAGATTTCTTAGGCAGGTCCAGGCTTTTTTCTTTCCCTTTTTTTTACCCATCCATCCATGCGGCTCTTGGAATTCTGTGCTCTCGTTCCGGATCTCCGTGGAATCAAAATAAAAGATAGAAAATGAGGACAAAAACAACTCTCCAAATTTCAAATATAGTAGTTATAATACACTCATTAACTAACTCATAACGAGACGAGAAATCAGACCCAAATTTTCCAGGGTACATACAGTACCAAAGAAAAGAACAATAATACGCAAGAGGATACATGTTGCTTCCAACAAAAAAATTACCAAAAGAGTGGTAGTTAAGGCCGCATCAGGGCATGCAGCCCTGCCCTTACCGACCCTCCAGGCCCGTGAACCCCTGCGGACCCAGACCATCCTGCCCGCCTGTGCGGAAATACTCAGCAACTACCCCGAGAGCATAGCAAGTGCCCGCAGCTACGCCACCTGTCAGCAAAACACGGCGCATGGCTTTGCGCAGGAATGGACGGCGCTTTTCAATTTTTGGTGGAGGGGGTTGAGCGGAAGAATGTTGCTGTTGCTGCTGCTGCTGCTGCTGCTGCTGTTGTTGCTGTTGCTTTGTGTCTTCAGAATCATATCTCGGTTGATTTGCTTCATCAGAAACGCGTCGTGTGGACGCTTCTTTACCAACCGGGGTGGTAGATATGCTAACCGGGGCCGCTACCATCCCAGACTCAAATTGATCGATAGCTTCCTTTTCAAGTTGTGCTGCCCACGCTGGAGAGTGCAGCATAGCATCCCCGTCAGCATACGTAGCATTAGCACCACTATCGCCTTTCTTCAATTCGGTGGCATCCGGAATCGCTGTCTTAAAATTACCAGGCACATCTTCACCCCCACCCTCAAACTTCCACCCTCCCACCCTCTTGAAAATGAGAATATCGCCGCCACCGGAAACAATTTCATATCCCTGTGCTTCTAGACGCGGGAAATGGTCAAGGAACCGCGAAGGGTTATTCAGGCGCGAAAGCGCTTCTGTGGGGTGAAGCTGTTGCGCTATCTCCCCTGAGCCTGTATGGCCAGATGAAATGCCTACGTCCTTCACTTCCATTGTTAGGGAGTCGTACGCTAGGACTCTGTATTGAGATTGGTTGGAGCGTGAAGATCGCGAGACATTCTGGCCTAGACGTGCCTTTTTCACACCTTCCTCCCTAATTGATTTTATTTCACCAAGTTCTGTTAAGAGACAGGCGATGGAGATGTTGATGTTTTTGACATCACTCAGAGTCTCACCAATGTTGGCTATCTGCTTCTCGTACTCTTCTATCGCATTCACCATCTCCGATGAGGTGGCGGCATTATTGTTCTGGGAACTAGTGTCAACCATTGCCTCCAATGGACGATGATACTCTGTCAAAAGTGCCTTCATCGAATTTGTAGCCTCTTTGATTTCTCGAAGCTCTCTTGCAACACTAGCAATTTCACTGTGACGGTTCGCGTCGGTAGTTTTTATCCCAAAGACAGGGTGGATCTCATCTTGTCTAGAGCCGCCAACAGCGGTAGATGTATCACCAACGCTGCCTATGTTACGCATATCAGTGACTTGGCCGCGCTCTGTCCCTCTAGTACTATCGTCGTAAACTAGCGAGTTGACTGCTTGCAGTATTGGGTCTGCTGCTAGCCTTGCACTGGGAACAGAATCTTGCACTGTTTCATCATTGCGAGTACCCCTATTATTGTCCGGGCGAAGTTTCCAGCGCAACTCGTCAACATCCAGGCCACAATCAGCGCCTTGAAGGGCCTCATAAGCGTTTTCGGCATCATTTTGGCGCTCCGCCCGAGTTACATAAGAGGCGCGGATGTCACTCGCACGCAGTTGATTCACGTCTTCTTTCGTTCCGCTGCCCTCACTGACATCGTACGCTTTTTGGTAAATCTCACAGACCGGTGATGCGCTTGGGGCCTCAAGAGCCTCGATATGCCGTAAAAATTCTGAATGAGACATCCCCTCCAATTCCTTTGGAAGGCGCCCAGTATTTTCAACAGACCTCTTCCATCTAGGGATGAAGCGCTGGTATGATTCCCAGTCAGTGGCTAGGGACGCTTTACCCTCCTCACCAAGTCTGGCAGAACTGGGCTTCGATGCTTGATTCCTTTCGTCAAGCGTAGCTGTGTTGTTGGATGTAGCTACATTCGTATCAGCTGGCTTCTCTGCCCCGCTCAGGGCTCTCGCATCTGGTTTGAGGGCATCCTTTGCATCGTCACCGAGGGCTGCTTGTCCCGCGTCGGGTCGACAGGGCTCAACAACTGACCCTTCTGTGTCAAACTTTTCGCCTACATCGGTTTGACGTGTCTCAGTTGTAGCATTTTCGGTAGCACTTATTTCACTGGATTCAGACTGCTTGGCTTTGACGGAGCCGGGCTCCTCGAAATTGATGTTTTGGGATGGTTTGGAATGAGCTTGATCGCTTGTACCATTGGGAGGGATTGCCTCCCCGGAGGCGCGCAGCTCAGGTTCAATGGGGACTAACTCTTCTGTGTTTATGCTTGGTGTCAGTTTGGAATAGGATTGCTCGTGGCAAGGTTCTACTTCCGCCTCGCCATCTCGCGGGTTTGAAAGGATTATTGGAGAAGAATCATCAGTCTCGCTGTCAGTCGTTTTGGTCCTTGTAGGAACCATCCTGCCACTGATGGGATCAAATTCAAATGCAGCTTCTGTCATAAGGTTGGACGATCGCGAGTGATCCTCGTTGACCTTCATCTCAGGCGACGTCGTAGGAGCTGGTTCTGTTCCTCCATTTGTCGGAGCCTCTCGAGTGTCCTCTGAGGAGCTTGGACGTTGACTGTGGCTTGTAGGCCTCTCACCGGCAAACAATGACTTATAAAACGATGACCAAAATCCCTCTTTCAAACCAAATGGAAACGGCTGCAACCGCCTCCCAAATATGAATCCATAAGGATCGTGATTGATAGCTTTTTGAAATTCCTTAAAACGCTGCTCAGACTCTCGTCGCATAGACTCTCCAAATTCGCTCTCTTTGCTCTCCCAAGAGTCGAAACCGTTTTTCTCTCCAAGGTCCTCGAATCCGTTCTTAGCTCCACCCTCATTCGCCACCCAAGGTTTCCCCCACTCATTCCCTTTCTTCATACCTTGCCCGAGATCGTCGTATACATCACACCGTCTGTGAAAACGGCTAGCTTGCTTGGGGTCATGGGACTTGGTGCTTCTCCAGCTCTGATATATGTATGGTCGTCGCCGCCCAACATGTCTGATGTATTTGTTGTAGAACGACTGCATTTCCCTTTCTTTCTCCATCAGCCTCCGCAACCTGGATTTCCCTTGTGATAACCATTCTGGGTCGTGATGGTGAGACCACCAAAATAGCGATCTCTGCTGGCGTGAGTGGAGATAGGCTGGAGAGCGGAAGGTTTCGGATGTTAAGGAAATGGCCGGAGCCAGTAGCTGCGGATAGGAGCGTGGGGATACAGACGATATTGGATGCCGGAGAGCACGACGACTCGAGAAAAGAGCTGATGAAGCCATGTTATATTTGTAAGGTAACTTAGTCTGTTGTTTGCTCGAGCACCAATCAGTCAGTCAAACTAGATGGCTGCGATTCCCACCAGAGAATTGGCATAGACCATGTCACATTCTTGCCAAACAATAGATGGCTGACCTGTCTCCTCTGTCGTCAACAAGTGATATGATATCACAACTAGGGAGTTGGGGAATCTGGACACGGATGAAGTCGAATGGCGGAACGCGAGGAGAGCTTCCCGGGGATGACATCATCAGGCCCCAACCCCGCTCAGGCAAGGCAAACTCTATAGTTATATATAAAAGAGAAGATCTGAGAGCAAAAGCCTTCAAACTCAACATTTCACATTTTACCTAAACTTAGTTAACTAGTAGTTCAGCTGTATATGGCAACCTCGTGCTTTGTGAATATTTGCACAGGTCAGGAGATTTGCTGAAGATGACCATTAGAATTGTTAACAAGGTGATGGGGAGGCATCATCTAAGCTAGAGAGGGCGGAATGGAAAGAGGGTAAGGAGTGTAGAAGTGATATAAAATTATGTGAGTAGGGAGAAAAGGAGATCTTCTGGCTTCATTTGTTGTCCCGTATAGTTGAATCGACAGTTTCCTTCCTCGATATCTATTAGAATAAAACGTAGCTTTGGTTGAACCTAAGCAACAGTTGTGTTTTCATTGTTATTTCCAAGCCTAGCAAAGTGTTCCTCTAAGACCAAAAGAAGATAAATGCAGGATGGGGCATCACCACCTTTTAACCTAGATTCTCATTCCACTCATCTATCCATCCATTCATCCAAATCTATTCACAACCCTACCTGAAAATTTGAATTCATAGACAGCTGAGAAAAGGATGACCCAAGTCCACCAACAATGCCCATCCCCTCAAAACTATCCGTATCAACAATATGATTACACCAAAACCGCAATCCTTCAATACCTTCCTCCCTACAGAGAAATCCCTTATCCTCAGCCATCTCCAGCTCCTCCGCAGCGACACCAACACTCCACCCAAACCGCTCTGCGGCCTCCTGCGCCGTGACTCCTTTACCATACACGCCCCAATCCCAAGGAACAACCTCCTCAGCCACGGCTGTAGCCCGTAGTTCCTCAAACCACGCCTTCAACTGCTTAATCGTCTTTTCATCCGTCCAATCAAAACGCTGGACGACAAGCAGCCCGCTCTTGAAGCGACGCAGACGCACAGGGAGCCTAAGTTTCTCCCACAACTCAGCAGCCTTCTGGAAATCGGACGGACTTACGAGTTCGACTCCGTTGCGGCTACGGTTGAATACGGCCCACAGGTCGATTAGACTCATGATACCGCCTTCGCGGCGGAGGATGCCTTTGCGATCATCTGTTAGGTACTCTGCGAGGTTGCGAGAGAGCTCAGACAGATATAAGGATTCTGAACCGCCGCCGGGGCCTAGCATGTCTTTCGTAGTAGTCATGCCAAGGGCAGCGGCGGATTGCGAGAGGACGGTGTTTGCTTCAGATGAACCGCCGCTGTTTGACCCAAGGTCAGATTCCGCAGCGAAACTTTCAGCCAGCGCGACAATTTCCTTCGCTGATGCCATTAGCGCTTCAAGGTCCTCGAAGGCACTGCCAAGCACAACTTGATTGTTCTGTCGGACCTCGAGGCCACGACGCTCGAGCCCCGCAATCCCAACCGCAGGACGTGAGGAACGTTGGCTGGGGGTGTTGGGATCGCTGCCTGGCATGGAAGATGCGGGGGAAGGGGTACCCCTCGGGACAGGTGGGGCATCATGGAGAATCCATTTTCGTTGGACCAAGGCACTTCTGAGTCTTTCGTGAAACATCTTCTCACCACCTCGGCGGAAGGATAATTTGACGCTATCGTATACTTCGGTGTTATCTAGGTTGGTGGTTCCGAAAAATGGGGCTGGTGAACCCGAGCGATCTGGGGTTTGGACACTGGCAGTGTGATCTAATTTTTTCAGGGGTGCACCACATATTTCACATTCTAATAAGGAAGGGTGGTTTGCAAAGGTACATCTTGGGCAAGCAATCCCTGAATCGGCTGACGAAGAAGTAGGAATGTGGGAAGGGTTGAAGGGGAATAGCGAATCTCCGTTCCTTCCAGGTCTACTCAAATTATGTTGGCTTCCTAATGACGAAGCAAATGTCGAAGAGGAAGTGCTGGACGCTCCATGGCTAGGTACAGACGCAGATGCAGATGAAATTGCCGCTTTCAAAATTGTGGTAAAGGGAGGTTTTATACCGCAAGCCAGGCATGGTGGCAGCGCCATCGAGGCATTCGCGGTTGCAGGATCAAAGTTCGAAGGCAGAGAGTTTGAGTATGTGCATATAGGGCAAACCCATGTTGCACTAGAGATCCTCGCAGCAGAGGCATTTTGTGAGTGAAACGGACTGCCACTCCGGGCAAGCGGAGAAGATGGGATTCCTGGTGAGCCAGACTTCGTTCCTTGTGGAGTAACCGAATCTCCAGGGGAGTTACGGTTTTGACCAAGGCCCCGTTTTGATTGTTTTGGGTATATCGTTATTTTAGGTGACGATTTCAAGAAACCTGCCTGTGAAGTTGCTAAAAGTCAGAGATTGCGTACCATGTTAACCATCGGATTTGGAAGATGTTCGGACCTGATATTCAACGCGATCCACATATTTCAACTCCAGCGCAACGGAGTATTTTCGAGGCTGGTCGTCGTCGACATAGCATATCCGATGCGACGTGAGATAGGCATGGCCAGACTGGTAATTTGGGATCTTGTATTTCCTACATGTGGAGGTACCGGGTTAATTGATCGCGCTGGGAATTTCGTTTCTCAGTAGGATTTTGCAGACTTACCCTTCATACAACCCTACCTGATCCTGCACAAAGAGAAGAGTCTCATCTGGTAACAGTGACGGGCGGAGGGCAGTGGTAAGATCCAGCGCGTTGAAGAACATCTAGCCGGGTTTTGGTAAGGATGGGAGCAAATGCATCATCATTGGCCTCGCCAAATGCAATTACACCATCGTATCAGTGGAAAAGAGGAGAGTGGCTAATGTTTTCTCAACCGCTCCGAGGCTTACTTGCTGTTGTTATCATCTTGTAATTGTCATTATCATACGTCGTCGTCGTCGTCTTCTGGTTGGTAGCAAGCTGGAAGCGGAAAGCAAGGCACGAACGAGATAAGTTAACGATTAGATAAGCGCTCCTCCACTTACATAACCAACCACGTGCTCCTGCCCGAACCAGCATGCTAAGCGAATCCGCCTCACTTTGAACGCCGCGAGTTCTCCTCTCCAACAACTCACCAACATCAACCTCTGTAGGACCCCTCATCTATATCTACACTCCCTCCCGCTCTCTTTTTTTTCTCTGTTTTTCTCTGAAGGAAAGAAAAGGTATTCACTGTGTATTCCTTGACTTCCTTCCGCTCGTAGTTTCTTCGATCGCCTGTCAACTTGTTACAACTTTTGCCGCTGGACAATCAGTCCTTTTTCACCATGAGTACAGCTCCACCACCATGGCGAGCAACTGCTGCGCCTGCTTATTCATCAAATGGTAAGTCTTTGGCTCCAGCTTATTTCTTGTGATGAAATATAGCATTTCATGGCGTGGCTAATGAGATCATATGTTCTAGCTTCGCCAGCGTACATTCCTGTCCAAGCACGCCGGAGCCTCGCCCACCATGCTCCTGAACCTACCACCGTCGCGAAAACAGAGTCAAGAGAGCTATCATCGCCGAAATCAACAGATCCCAAGGCCGGGAAGTCGAAAATTGACTGGCCTCCGGCTGTTCGCCAATATGTCCAACGCAGCTTCGTCCCTGAGTTCCAAATCGCGAGCGTCAGTCGGATGGACATGGAGCAAAAGCTCAAGCAAGTTATCACCGAAGCCGCTGAAAGTGGTAACCTTCACAATGTTGATTGGGAGAACTTGCCGTTGCCGCAACAAATGATTCAGAATGAGCGAAATAAGATTCTCACTTCTGCTTCTGTTGCTTCCTTGCAATCGTCATGGTCTGCGAAGTCGCAAGAACTTCGTCAGCAGAAACAAGAGAAAGCGAAGGAAGAATCTCCAAACAAGAGGAAGTCGTCAGAATTCAGCGCAGAAGATGACGAGGCGGAACATATTCCACCTTGGAGAAAAACTAACACACGCAATGGCTTTGAAGACCGTATTAGTTACCCTTCCACAACTGATAAGCGACGACGGATAGATAGCAACAACTCTAACAGCAACAGCAAAAATACAAGTAAGTTCAAAAATAACCTGGAGCTGCGGAAACGACGCTTTGAGGATTTGCGTTCAGGTTACCAGTCTCCTCAGACTGGGAGCTCCTCCCGCGATGAATCACCGGATGTGGGTGGAGGACCTGTCATCGGACGGTGCCAAATGTTGGAGAAAAATTATTTCCGATTGACTTCGGCCCCCAATCCTGATACTGTTCGTCCTTTGCCCGTGCTGAAAAAGATGCTCGATTTATTGAAGAAAAAGTGGCGTCTCGAGAATAACTATACCTATGTTTGCGATCAGTTTAAGTCTATGCGCCAGGATTTGACCGTCCAGCACATCAAAAATGAGTTTACAGTGAACGTGTACGAGATACACGCCAGGATTGCTTTAGAAAAAGGGGACCTTGGTGAGTATAATCAATGCCAGACGCAACTGCGAGCATTGTATTCGCAAAATCTTGGAGGACATCCCATGGAATTTATGGCCTATCGCATTCTCTATTTTATCCATACCCGCAATCAGACGGCCATCAACGACGCTTTGGCAGATCTAACCCCTGCAGACAAACTGGATCCTGCTGTGAAGCATGCCCTTGATGTTCGATCAGCTCTAGCATTGGGGAATTACCATAGATTCTTTCAACTTTATCTGGATACGCCGAACATGGGAGCATACCTTATGGACATGTTTGTTGACCGCGAGCGTCTTGCGGCACTTGCGTGTATTTGTAGAGCGTGAGTAATCCTGTTATTCCTCCAAAGCTGAAAAGCTCATGCTAATCTAACGATTGCAATTAGGTATAAACCTGAGGTGAAGATAAGATTTATTACTGAAGAACTTGGTTTTGAGTCCGATGAACAGGCCGCCCGATTTATATTGGACCATGCTCCAGAGGATTTGCTCCAGGAAAAACCTGATGGGGTTAAGCTCCTTACCGGGAAAGCCGGGCAGGTTTTCGAACTGGCTAAAGCGGAAGCTCACAAAGTGGTCGATATAAAAGGGCAGATCTAACCAACCCGCTTGATCCTTCCTAAAGCAAGGATTTCTCCATTGTTCAGTTCATGACACACCGCCACCCCCTTCCAACTTCCATTCTTGTTTCGCACATTCCGTCTTCTATTGGGCCGTATCCCGACCTATACACCGGTCAAATCGTCCATCGTATTTCTATTTCTTCTCTTACCTACTTCTGCGGCTTGTCATCGCCGTGGATTTCTTTTTTTCACTTTTTCTTGTCTTCTAATTTTCTCTATCTTACACTCCGTGTCTCTCGAAGCCTATATCCATCCCTCGTGCATATATTTTAACCCTAAGCCTATCCATGGATTATCGCCATACTGTTACATCTGACGATCGATCGGTTATGCATTTGGGACACGCGACCTCACGGAAATCTTTTGCGTTTTTCGTTTTATGTTTTTCACCAGGCTATCGGCACTTTTGGGTACCCAATATACCCTTCAATCGAATCCTAACAGTTTCTTCATTCGGATTTCGCATGATTTTTATATAATACCGCTTTCGTACCGGAGTTAGGCGCTTGGGGTGCTTGGGGTGTATCGAGTGGGTGGTCGTTACTGACTTTTCATTTCTCTGGCGAGCTTTTCCGGTGCCTGCATTTCGTGGCGGGAGTGCTTTGGGTCTCGAGATAACCAACTTTATTTCTGTATATTTTCCTCTGATTCACTGAAAACTTTTTTTTATATATATCTATATATATAATACTAAGGAGCTTATTATTTTCAAGAATTGAATATCTCAAATATACAACTGTGGCCCGTGTTGAGTCATTTCATTTGAGTAAAACCTTTGGTTCTAGATTGAGTAAGACGTATGATGATAAGAAATACACATGCTTTCACTAGCCTCATCACTTCTGTAGTTGATGCATCTCATCACAGTGTAATTATCATCACAACACAATTTTTCATCAAGAATGTAACTTTAATATCTTGATATATTAAAATTACTTTTTTTATTTATTAAAAAAAATTATCTATGTCGGATTCCCTCTCTACAGGCCGACTGCTTTCACCTAAGCAAGGTGTTCGCTGATCACTTGGCAAACGCCTGTCACACATAAAAGGCCGCATAATAGCTAGATCTCAATAATATAATCAACTACTCTATTATATCATCTTCATCAGATTATGTCTCTTCTTGCATATAAGAATTCACTATATTTTTAAAAAATCAAATTCTTACACTTCATGCTTAAATTGAAGATCTAATTATATTCTGAAATACTGTATTAGTGATTCTGCAGCTGTTTATTATAAATTAAAAAGAACTCTGTTAATTTCAAAATCAATCAACTCACTACAGACTTTTATAATAAGTTCATAAGTAATCTCTGCATTCTTATATTGTTAGAGGATAATGTTGTGGTATACGTGTAATCTACCTAAGGTGAAACTATTCTTACGGGAAGAACGTAGACTTATTATACAACCGGATTATGATTGTTTCACCGTGTCAATCAGCGACACGGCCGCTGAACTGTAAATCATAGTATAATAATGAATGAACTGTGAAATCACAGTAAATAGAGTATGAACAGAAAAAAATCATTATTGTATTAACAGTGTCACTGATTTTTATCTATGTAATCACTAATTATCAAAAATGTCTCATTTACTGAGATAATTCTCTATTGAAAATCAATCTTCTGAAGTATCAGAATTAGTCTTCATTTTCAGTCATAGCCTTATTATTAATCATCTTATTAAATCTGTGAATTAGAATTGAAGTTTCTGAACTAGTTATTATCTGAAAAGCACTGTCATCAATCATATATTATTTAAGAGTGAGGATTTCAGAGTGATTGAGAGCTGAGTATTTAAAAATCTATATAATTATTAACTTCTGAATAAATCTGAGAATTAATTCATTGACTCTAACTTACTATTTCAGTGATTATTTTATAAGTCTGAGAACTCAGAACACTCATCAGAGTTAAAAGATTAAAGAAGAAGAGAGAGAGAGAATTAATAGCAGTGATAGAGAGATTAGTAAGAGTTATAAGAAGAGAAAGAAAATTATCACTATTAATAGATTTCTTATCACTACTACTCTCATTAACTGTATTACTGAGAAGTTTGACAATTGTTTTAAATTGATTTATTATTTCATATATTTTAATAAAAATACACTGTACTTTCTTTCTAACACTGTTAATCAAGTTTATAAGATTCTTTATTATTACTTTTTAACTCTTATAATAATTATTAACTGATCTCAAGATCTTTTACTAGATAGCAAGCTTTGTATTTTTAATATTTAATTTTATCTTTTTAATAATAATTTTCTTCTTCTTTATAATAATTTTCTTACTGTACTGTGCATATACAGTATCTTATATTAGAACTTTTGATTCTTAAAGCTTTCTATTGTAACTGACAGAATACTAATCTTACTAAAGAATACTAATCTTACTAAAGATGAGAAAAGACTGAATGAGCTGAGTGAGCTGATAAATCAATATTTACATTATAATATGATTGTGAGAAGAAAGAAGAAAGAAAAGAAAAGAAGAATAATAAGTTAATATCTTCTTTATATATATTATTAATTCTTTTATATTACTATATAATGAATACTTTTATATTTCAGAAGACTTCTGAACATAATTAATCAGTGTATCTGATAGATTTCATTTATATTTTATTTTCAGAATAAATACTTTCTGTGTGAGCTATCATTGAATAAACTACAGCTATTTTGAATATAAAATCATTTCTATTAATCAGAAATAAGTATTCAACACACTGTTAAAAATATATCTACAGAATTTCAGATAAATAAGAAGATTTTCTAATGCAGTGAAATCAGCAATTCTGCTGCAGTCATAATCATATAAATTTTAGAGAATATAATAATTTTCATCAGTGAATATTAAGACAGGTATATTCTAATTATATATATTAAAGTATATATTAACTAATTTATATATAAAACTCATAGAAAACTAAATATATTAAAATAGAAATAAGTTATATCAGAACTCTCTGTGTTGCTGAATACTTTACATTACAGGTCTGTCTTTTGTCAGAAGTGTATCTGAAAATTTTATCTTTTTTCACATCTTCTTCTATATATCTTTCATCATATATCTTTTTTTAACTGTTAGAGTATTCTGAATTATCTCTGTAAAATCATCTCTGATAATTTATCAATATTCAGAAACATCACTTATAAGATCTCAAAATGTCAGAATATCTTATCATTGTAGTATAGCTTTGATGAAATTTTTATTTATATCAGTATTATCAAATATTTTGACTTAAGTTATCAGATTTACATATATCTCTATTTTTCAGAATCAGTTTCTTGTTTCTCAATCTGATGTTTTTCAAACTGATGTTAACTTACATTTCATATATTATTATTCTCACTCAGAGAATTGATCAAAGTCAATGATTTCTCACACTCAGTAAAAAATCAAGAAGAACTTTTCAGTGATAAATGAATTATAAAAATAGTCAAAGATTGTTAACTCTTTATAGCAGTTATACAATCTGATTATTACTGAACTTTCTCTGCTTTTTATCTTCTCTCATTGAATATGATTCTATATTAATAAATGATCACTTAAGTTAATCAGACAAGTTTTAATATCTCACTGAAAAGTTTAGATTTATCTAAGATTCTCTGCTGAAAAGTTGATATATTTCAGCAGAGATTTAAGTTATCTCATTGAGAGTTTGTTATATCTCACTGAAAGTTTGTTATATTCTAGTAGAGATTTAAGATATTCTGCTGAAAGATCAAAATATCTCATCAGAGACTTGATATATCTCACTGAAAAGTTGAGATTTTTACTAAGATCTGAAATACTGAAAATACTTGTCTTCATTTCTTTCAATGTTCTTGACTTTCATGTCTTTATTACATCAAGCATTGTAATTCAGCTTAATGAGAATATGTATAAGATTTTATTCTTTGTTTTTATCATCTCTGTGACTGTCTTGTTCAGATTGTTCTTTGAGAATGTAAGAAAATACATTCATCTAGTTTCAACACAGAGCTTTTATTCTGTCAGTTAAATTTCCTTCTCATACACTTCTGCATCTGAGTGCTGAATTTAATGACATCTCTTTAACAGATCACTGAATGTTGAGAATGAGTTTGATTTCTTGTCTGTCTGATATTCTTCATTGATGTCATTATGTTCATTCTATGATACAGATATATTAATATATGATTTCTTTTGAAATCAGTGATTTGTCTCAGTAAATCTATCAGATAAGAGAGTTTGAAGAGGTCTATTAAACTAAGGTCTATGACCATACTTATTTTCAGGATTTTAATAGAATTTTGATAGTATTCTGATAAAATAATCAGCTACTTGCAGAAATATAATAAAGAAAATATGATTATTAATATTAAGATAATGTTTGTTACTGATTGTGACTCTTATTAATATATTTCTTTTTGATAATTCAATCTCATCTCTTTATTTTATCAAGATCACTCATTCACTTCATTTATATCTTTTCAACTATGCAACTTTTTTCTACAAATTATATCAGAAAGCAAAATATTACATCTGTTTAATTGAAATCTGAAACACTATCTGCTATCTGTCTCTAGATAAGAATCTGAGAATGATCAATATCTTCCTTTCTCAGAAACTGCAAATGAAGATTTCATCAACAGTGATTCAGATATTGATACTTCTAGTGAAGAAGTATTGCTATTTTCAGTAAGTTTATCACTTTTGATGTCTCTATTATTATAAAAACTAATATTCTCTAAAGACAGAGTCATATAATGAGAATGCTGCTGATAATATTGAGCATATTGAGTGACTTTTAAAAGCAGCTACTGAGAAGAATATTTCTGAAAATGATGATCAAGAGAATTCTGATGAGTCAGTTACTGATAGACTGACCGTGTGACCGTGTCTGAGACCAGGACCAGATTTTTTGATAGTCTCATTATCAATTCGACTGATCTCATTACACAGTTTTAACATTAGATAGTAGTCTCATACTGTTTCAGTGAGACTTACTGTCTACTCTTATCACATTTTTCAAATGAGATCATGATTTTCACTTCTCAATTTAAATTATTTTTATTACTTTAAATGACTTTAAATCTTATTTAAGTGTTATCAAAAAGTGTTACTTTTTAAAAAATTAAAAATAGTCTAAAAAAAACCTTAAAATGTCTAAAAATAGTAACTTTATGTTAAGAATGAAACTAAATGAGATCAAATGAGATCACTTTCTCATTTTTTTCAAGTCATGGTTTCATTTTGAGATCTGATATATAGTCACTTTACATGTTTATTTAATGATTAGTCCCAGCGGGATTCACGCCAAGAAATGTATGAGACCAGACTAAATGAGATCAAATGTGAAATTCATGATTCTGGCGGCCAGTCTAGTTACTGATAATATTAAAATATCAGCTGCTGATGCAATTGCTGTTACTATTACTAATCAATTTATTGATTCTGATTCAGCAATTGATATACCTTACAAATACAGTAACTTTGAAATGAATTCATTTATTCTGATAATAAGACTCTGAGCTGAAGAGTCAGATATTTCCTGAAAAAACTACAAATCACTACTGCAAATTCTATGTTTATTAAAGAATACATTGCTGATAAGTCTACTCTCTGAAGGTCTATTAGCTCTGAAAAAGTAATACAGAGCATAATTTTCAATTTTATCAGTCAAGAAAACCTCAATTTCAATAGTATTATTAATATAAATATCAACTCTGAATTCTGCTCAGAAACATCTCACTGAATTCTTCATGAGATTACTATACTTTTAAAATCTGATTTTCTTAATATCTGCTCTTCTCAAATCCTCAACTTTTCAGTGACAAATGCATATAGAAATGGCAGAAATTGTTAACAATTTCACAGAGTTATAATAATCTCACAGTTGAGAGAGCTCT